GATGTGAAGTGTGAGACCTCCAAAGATCAGGTGCACTCTGGAACCGCCCTAAGCACCAGGAAACCATCAGCCAGCACAGAACCAACTCAGACCACCTCCCAGAGAGCCGAGTACCTTGCTACAGATAACTCAGCAACTCATTAAAATTAGAATCAAATACAACTGTTGTTCAATATGACATAACTCATGATTATGAGACGGACTAAAGAGACTTTTAGCCAGACTGAAAAAATGTTGCCATTTAGCCAAATGTGGACAGTTGAGAGCTTCCGGTTGAACGTCCTGAGTGAGAGTGGCCAGAATCAAGTAGCAGTAGAGAAGAGTGGAGATTTCCAGCTGAGAGAGTTTGGAAAACAGGAGTCTGAAGGACCTAAGTGAAGTTGCCCCCCCCCCCCCCGCCCCCCCCCCCCCCCCCACCTTCTTCAAATCTAACAAAATTGGAGTCAAACATTTGTGCTATGTTTGTGCTGCTAAAGTATGTGTTTGTGCTGATTTTGCTTTGAAGATATTAGTGAAAGGTTCAAGGTCAAAAGGTCAGGTCAGCTGATGACGCTGAGCAGCCGAAACTGGGGGTGGTGGCAGGAACTCAACCGCAGGGAGAAAATGAATACCTGCAAGGAACACAATAGAAACAACAAACCAAAAACCCCATACTGCTGGGATTCAGCAATACAGCTTATCTGTGCTATAACATATCAAAATGATTTTAGTTTTAAGATAAGATGATAACAGGGCATCCGGTCGCGGCTCTGATTTCCCTCTGGGATTAATAAAGTATCTTTGAATTGAATTGAATTTTTCGACAAATTAGTTATTTAGTCACTCCCCACCACCACTATTTTACAAATATGCAAAAAATATAAAAAACGAGCAAGTTTATCTGATGGCATACAGACTTCTGGAGACTAACATCAAGCACTATCAACCAACTCAACGAGCTGCAGTATTTCTGTGGTCAGGTTTCTCTCCGAGCCTGAGAGCTCCACAAGCGGTCAGCCCACGCAGCAGACAGGCGCCGAAGTGGTTAGAGATGCGCCGGGCTGACCGCTGGGGAGAACCGGGTGGAAGAATGGAACACGGAAGTCTCCCTCCGAGAGCTACGTCATATTTCAGCCCATTTTTATGTTAAATGCATTGGGTTTTACACCCATCGACATACACTTTACCGTATTACATCTAAATTTCATGGTTAAACACTACATGTTAAAATGGTAGTTGGCTAGCTACTTTGAAAAGCTCAGCTAGTGCAAAAGCGGCAATGACCTGAAATACATAAATATAATTTTACTTACCAAAAAAATGAAGTGGAAACTCCTTGGACGCTCTATTAGTGCAACTAATACCACAGCAAGTCATTTTGTCCAACAATTGCACAATATCCAAAAAAGAATACACAAATGCTACAGCTACTGGTCTAAGTTCAGAGACTTAAAAATCACGGAACAGTTTTCAGGTGAGACCGAAGCTCAGACTGAGGCTACTGAGGCCTTTCCATGGAGCTAGCTCTGCGGTCACGTGGGTCTGATGCTCGTTAATTATACAGAATTTTAGGCATTTAAACACTTAAACAGAAGAGTGACAAAAAATTCACCCCCCTCAGAGTTGTCATGAGTGTAAACTAGATCAATTAAACCAAAAACATGTTTTGGAACCAGGCTGTAAACATGTTTATTTCTGCTGTGAAATTGGTATTTTTAACATGGGAGTCAATGAGGATTTGCTCGCTTCTGACACCAGCCCCCAGCAGATGAGGGTGGAACTGCAATTTATTTCACTTCCGCATGGGCTTCAATATCAGACCCGCATTGAGGGGGCTTGGTTTAAACACCTTTTCAGTTTTTCATTGATTTGTTACATTGAATTTCCACAACAGAATGACATTAAAATTCCTGGTAATTGTTTTATATTTATTTATTTTACATAATTGTCCACAAATAACATCCCAGAGGGGGAAAAAACATCCATACTGTTTTTGCAAAAACATTTTTGTTTTCGTAAATTTAAAACCTACTTCTTGACATTTTGCTTTTCATTCAAGGAGCTTTGTCTGTCAGTTCTGACTACAAATACCCCTCCTCCCTACCCCCTGGGAGTCGTTGATGTTGTTAGGTTTTGTTGTGTTGGAATGGTTGTTGTGATTAGATGCAGGAGAAATCAGAACAGTCATTCCCACACAAAAGGACCTAACAACATCAACCACTCATCGGGGGTTAAGAAGTAGGGGTGTTAGTTTGTTAAGTGACAACAGATAGCTACAGTATATAAGCTTGCAGAGCCGTGTCCAGGATTTTTAAAATGGGGTGGCCCATGTGGGGCACTTGTTTATTCATGGGTGGCACCAATGGTTATGCTTATTTATTTATTTACACAAATCATTTATTTATTTATTTACTTTCTAGGGAATTTTTGAGTTTCACATTGCACAATCACCATTTTTTTTCCTCTTCATCTTCTACTTTTGTGGTGGTTAGCAAGTCACTTCTTGTTGTACTACTGCCACCAACTGGAGTTGAGTGGGACTCTAAATATTATGTATGTGAATATGAAAAAATATTAATACTACATACCTGGGCTAGAAAACAAGGTGAAAGGTGCATGTAACCACACACTATTTTGGAGTTTACAACCCAAGCCTTTTGTCGACAATGTAAAGTCAATTTAAACTGGAACTTAGTGAGGTGGCACCTGGGGTGGCCAATCAGATTCTAAGGGTGGCATGTGCTACCCCAGGCCACTCCCTGGACACACCCCTGTAAGCTTGACCAGCAAAACTGACAAAGCTCCTCGGACGGGAAGCAAAATGTCTTTAAAGAAACCAAAGAAGTCCAGTTGCCTTTATTTGAACCCTTTGGATGACCATGGCCTGGATGACAGAGAACCTTCACCAGCATAGGGAGCACAAGTCTCCTCTCTTTCCGGTCAGCTCACGGGTCCCCGGAAGAACGAAAAAACAAATGCAAGTCAATGGGGCTAAAACGCTATTTTCTAATTTTCTTTGCCTTACGCCCTGGATCACACATATGTTGTACTGCAATTTAAATGATAACTAATGATGGGTGTTTTGACCACGCCAGTCACGTACTTTGAGATTTATCGGCTTGTAAAAGTTTGTAATTAGCACGACTACACACCAGAAATCGCACGTCGCATTTGTGACGTCACCACACAATCTCCTCTCCCCCAAAGTAGCTGCTACTTACCAAATGACCAGATTTATGGTGGGTTTTTCCTCCTGTGGGAAGTTTGCTGAACTTACAGCCCTTTTCCCTCACTTTTCTCCATGTCTGGTTTGATGACGTCACTTTCGTGATGCGCATTTGTAGTCCTGGACTTATTTTCACACAAAACCTAAAATAGCGTAGAAAATAAGCACATTTTTGGTATCAAAATGTGTCTTTAAAATTCATGGACATAATATGTGAAATCCACGGCACAAAACAAGCAAAATTAAAAAAATTGCATTTTTAGCCCCATTGACGTGCATTCATTTTTTTCGTTCTTCCGGGGACTCATGGTGTGGAAGTAGATGGGTGTGACTTTGGCTCTCTATATTCTCATAAATGATCATTTTCTTTCTTCAAAATGTCCTTTAACAGTTAAAGCTCTAAACAAGTTTTATTCTTGTGAACTATGAGGAAAAATTACTTTTTGAATTGCAATAATGGCTAATCAGTAACAGCTCAGCCTACATTAGGTCTAAATTACATCTAGATTACAGGAGAAAGTCATATTTACAAATACCTTTATTCAAACTCATTTTGCTGCTTTAGCCAGTAAATCAAAACAGAACGCATGCATATTGTGCACTTTTCAGCACATTTAATGAAGTCATTAAGACTTGATTGGATTGCTGCAGTATTGATGGTGAACTGAAAGCTGAATGGTGAATACAGATCGTGAATGCAAGCAGAGGGGAGTGTGTGACACTGTAAAAGCTTTCATTTCATAGGTGTCATCAGGAAGAACATAAGCATGTGGGTCGCTGTTTTAGACTGTAATCAATGGAAAAAATATCATGTGATTTGGTTGAGCCTTTTAGTGCTTTTCTATATAACTGCAATTTAGGCTTTTCACCAGTTTTCAGTCACTGCTTTCATGAAATAGCTGATCGTGTTTTTATAGATGATTTTAAATTGTAAATGCATTATTTGTTCATGCATCTATGTCAATGAAGAAAGATCTAATGATGGCAGACATAGATGACACCGTGCTGAGGTAATTTAATCATGTGAATGTATACAATAGATGAGCAGAGGAACATCATTAAGGACACGTGGCTCTCAGGGGCAGGAGTGGCATTCTGTGTCTTAAGATCCTTGACATAGTGTTAACACACGCCTGTATGCTCCAGAACAGCAAAACGATAAGCCCCTGCAGCACCTGGCTGCTTTTTACTGGTATTTATGTTTATTTTAATGATTGGCTGATAGATTTTTTGTCTCACATATTTTATTAGTTTATGGTTATCGAGCAATATGATTTTATTTAATCTTTACATTTTAAGATTTGTAAATAAAATCTGAGAAATGAAAAAGCACCAGACGGTACAGGTAGGATTATTTAGTGTTAACATCCCTTTGGCGTGTTTTTACAAAGCTGCAGACTCACAGGCTTTTAACCACTTTCTCTGCATTTATGTTTTATACTGAATTGGCTTTACTTCTTGAACTTTGCCACCGAGCACCCATAAAGGTTGTGTTCATGAGTGAGATGAAGTGAAGCCAGAAGATCAAGTTTTTTAACTTTTGCAAAAAAAGAAAGGAAAAATCGTCTCCCTGACCGATTCTTTTATTATTTGATTTAATTTTGAAAAACATCTTAAATCTGTCAGCACAGAGTCCCGGTGGCCACCTGCTCCTGACCATGACTTTTGGTTATTGATCAGAAACATTATGCTGCTCCTGTCAAGCTTACAGTGGGATTCACAGACACACAAAAAATGCCTTTGTGAGATCATGGTGACCTTTGACCTCTGTGCCCACTTGTGCTGTTTCCTCCAGGTACAAGGAGCTGATGACAGGAAAGACTTCCAGAGAAATCATAGCAATTTTATGGATCCTTTCTTTTGTGATTGGCCTCATTCCCTTCTTTGGGTGGAACTTAAAGTACTCGAGCTGCAACAACAGCAGCTCTGAAGAGGACAACACTGTGGACTACAAACACAGGGGGGGGCTGCCGCAGAACTGCAACCTCGAGTGTTACTTTGAGAGTGTGGTGGACATGAAGTACATGGTCTACTTTAACTTCTTCGTGTGTGTCCTGCTGCCACTGCTGATCATGCTGGGCATCTACGTGAAGATCTTCACCGTGGCCAGGAAGCAGCTGAGGCTGATTGAGCTCAAGTGTGTGGGCAACGGGGACAATCAAAACCACGGTCTGCTGCAGAAGGAGATCAGAGCAGCCAAGTCCCTCTCCATTATTGTGGGACTGTTCGTCGTCTGCTGGCTGCCAGTCCACATCCTCAACTGTCTCACTCTGTTTTACAGGGAGCTCGAGAAGCCGGAGTCAGTCATGTATGTTGCCATTATTCTGTCTCACGCCAACTCAGCGGTAAACCCAATCATCTACGCTTACCGCATCCAGGACTTCAGGAACACGTTCCGCAAAATCCTGTCCCAGCACCTGCTGTGCCGCAGGGAGGACCTTTACCTCAGCTCCAATGGCAGCAGACGCCACAAAGACCAGATCCACATGACCATTGACCCTCTGCTATAGAGACACGGCATGGGCCACTGGGATCAACTCTTGATTTTGGTTTTTACTGAGGTTTCTAATGTTTACAGAACAAGGGTGACATGTGTCAATCCAGCCTTGAATGTGGAGATTTATTTATAAATTGTGACAAATCACTATACGGGGGTTGTCAACAAAATACTCAACAAGTCTTACATAACTTTTGTGCGAAGGTTTAGATGAAACTGTTGAAGCAAACTGGATTTGTAAGAATGTGAAGAGAATCCAAATCAAACTCCTCATTCTGAGATGACCTTGCTGCAAAAAACAGCCCTTTTTTTCTGCCCTGCTGGTTTTATCGTAAACATTCAGTGCCAGTGTTAAATAATTTATTACAAGACCATGTCTTTGAGAATGTAACGATAAAAAAACTGTGTGAATAGATCTGTGCTTGTGGACTGAAAAAGGTACTGTAGTAGGTTTTCTCATCTGTGGTTATTTTGGCTCATCAAGCTTTCGAAAGGAACCAATCATTGCCTCCGTATTCTGAGAGGACATATTTTCTGTATTTATTTATAAAGTTCATTTAGATAGAGGATATGGAGGCATGAAACTTTGCATATCTTTACCCAAAAATGAGGCAGATAACAAAAATACATAGTACCTTTTTAGAGTATATTGTTCTTTTTGTTATTGAACTAAGTGCCAGTGATCGTAGGAAGAACAGCAAGAAGAATGTATGCAGAGAGCTAAAAAAAAGGCCACTTAATTAAATACACCAAGAAACAAAGATTCCCCTGAGCACCATCTCATCTCCGTCACAAACCATCCTGTGTCAGGAACTCACCTGCTCATTATGAAGAGCATTTCTGCACAAATGTTATAAATAATTACTAGGCTGAGATATTTTATGTCCTTCAGGACTGATGAGCTACCGGTGCGTCCAACCCAGCTCGAACTAAAATGTATTTACTGCCATCTTAAAACTGCTCCAACTTCCTAAATTTCCCAAAAAATCATGCAGGCTTAACTTTATAAACCTTTATCAGTCAGTGCTTTTACATGCACATCAGTTAACTGAACTAATGCCTTAAAATTACTGGCATTATTTTTAATGCATGTAAACACATTAGTCTGGTTCTAATAAAGCTGAAGTATCCAGATAATGCAGTTGAAGACCGACTTCCTCTGCATGTAAACGGTTCAGTCGCGCTGTGTTCAGCTTGGAAGCGGCCTTCTGATAATATTGTCTCATCAAACCATAACATACGCACCAAATAAGCTGCACTGCAGTATTGTTGTCCATTCATTTGCCCATTGTGCATTTGTTTACTATCTGTGTTGCTATAGGCTAACCGGAAGAGTGCCGACCTGAAGGGGCGCATGCTGCCACCTACTGTAGTGGAGTGGAACGCACTTCATTCAAGAGCTTGATTTTCTAATGTACATGTAAACTAAGTTTTCTACAGTTTATTACGGTAGATCAACATAGATGTACATGTAAATGCACCGACTGTTGTTTGAACTTAACAAGGTTATAGAATAGAATAGACTTTATTGATCCACAGTGTGGAAATTCACTCTTTACGACTGCACATACACTTAGAGAATAGAAACTAAATAATACAGGTAAAAACACAAAGGCAGTAGGCAAATATTGTAACCTTCAGCAATTAAAATAAAGAATAAAAATAGAAAATTGAGTAAAAAATGTTGAATTCCTGGTAGACTTCCTAAAATAACCTCGCATGCAATAATATGAAATTTACAAGATGGGTTCTGCTTTAAGATTTTAGCAATACCCTTTGGTACAGACTAGTGATTAGCTCATCAGTCCCGTAGGACAAAAACTTTTATTTTTCCAAAAAGAGGCCATTCAAGAAGCCATCTACAACAAGCAAGATTTTTATTTATTTATAACTTTGACACAAATTATTGTAAAATCCCTTTCAGCCACCGACCCAGGAAGTAATAAACTGACTGTTTCTTGGTAGAAATAAAACACATCAGTACAGAGACAGCTATGAGCAGCATCATGTCCTTAAGTCTTCATTCTCAGAGCGGCTGACATAAAAGCTCCATTGTTTTCATTTATCAGATCAGATCAGCTCCAAACCCACAGCAGTCATTAGACCTGAAATGAATCAATGCGTTGCACTGAAGAGTCTCTGTGATAAACCTATTTAACTGTGTTGAAAAGATGTGTGACTAAGTCTTGATTGCACAGAACAGTAGAAAATGCTGTGATATAGGTCAGTTGCACTCGTTGGAACCCGTGATAGAAGTTTTTAATTGGCAGATTCAACTCTTGCTGCCCTTCTTGGAAGTTTAACGTGCAAATTACAGTTTGTGTAAAGCACGAAAACGCCTCTGCCAACATCTGTGACAGCGGCGACGTGCTCTGGTCATCAAACGGACAAAGCACTGACGTTTTCTGTTTCCTGTTTGAGAAGTGCTCTGAAGTCCAGCCACTAATTCACAACCGCTCCCTGAGTCTGTTGTTCGGCTCCTCCGACGAGTGAATTCAAGGGCTAAAACACGGGAGTGTGCCGGCGTGTTAGTACATTCCAACAGACGTCGATACTGTAACTGCACTGTAACTTTCTTTTATCGTCTTTGTTGATTGATGATGTGTAAAAACAAGTACTGTAGGTGTCAAGCTTTCTGCAAGCTACTGCTTGATGTCAAACTATTGCCTTTTTTTCCGTTTTAAAGGTAAAACAGCATTCCTGCCTTTTATTCTGACCTGTCTGGCGTGCTGTCCTGTTGCTACTGATCAGGAGAAACCTGCAAACTGATGTTCAACCCCAGAGTCAACTCTTTGACCAACAAACTACACCCAGTATTGTTATTTAATATGAGGCAATCTGTATGTATGGTGAACTATTTTGTTAATAAAGACGATGTTTATGTTGTTTACAATTAATCTTTATTTAAATGGATTTTTAAAATGTGAAAAATAATGGTTCTGCAACGATGCTTCCAGATTTTAAACAAAATTTAAATAAAATAAAAATGAACAGCTGAATCTAAGGAGAGCTTCTTATCCGGGAGGCTCTTTGTCTCTGGTCCACCTGCTGTCACGGGGCCTCGGTTCTGCTGAGCAGTGCGGTCATCTGCTGATCAGACACGCTCTCCTGCTGGGTCACCGCCATCGCCTGACAGAGGTAGACAGCCAGGATGTGTTTGCACTGGAGGAAAAGATCACAGACGATGATTTAACAAACCGATGTGATTAATGTGGCGGATATGAAGCAGTAATGACGGCCCAGTAATCCTAACCCAAAGATCTCATCTGACCTGCTGGTAATATTCTACTGGGAAATCTTCCCTCAGGACGTATTTGTCACAGAGCAATTTCCAATTATCAATCAAGTCCTAAACGTTTATGTAAATCAACAAAGATGACGGGCGATGAAGGCTTATTAATTTCCAGATTGCAGGAACATCAGAATCCTGATAGTTGGATGATGAACTGTCCTAAGGTTCATCAGGTTTTTGACCAAAAAAGCCTAATTCTATCTATATCAGCTTTTTAATCACTGACTTGTCAACTTACTCATAAGCAGTGTTGGGAGTAATGCGGTACAAAAGTAATTAATTACTGTAATGCTTGCTTTTTGCTGTAATGTGGTAATGTAAGGCATTACAGGGAAAGAAATGGTAATATTTACTCGGTCCAATTGTCAGTAACGCAGTAATTACAATGCATTTTTAAACCCAGAATCAAGAAGTGGGTTTCCTAAAAATTCAAATTGCGGGAAGCCTGAAAAAGATCCAGTATCCACATATATGACGTCATTTATGGACTGAGCTTTGCGGGCATTCTATGAGCAGAGAGGACGCAGCGGTAACGGCTCAAATACTCCAGCTGCGTCCTGCGCGCGGCCGCTGTTATATTCACAGCGATCGTTTATATCAGCCCATATTCTCTGGTACTTCATGTACTTTTCAGCTGAGTTCATAATCTGTGCCCTGGTGATTTCAACTCATTGCTGCTGGAGCGCATATGAAGCTCTTTGTTTTTGTTTTTTTGCATTCAGTAGATCCCTTTGGCTGATTAGTTTGAAAGTAGGAAATCTAGGAAACAGTTTTTCTGGAAGACGGAGAAAACATGCAGCATGCAGGAAGGTTAGAGGGAGAAAGGGCAGGAAATTATTCAAATAAAATCAAGCAAACAAAGTAGGTAGATTTATCCCCAATACTCATTTTTACCAGTGAAAAGCAATAATATATAAGCATTTAATATTTATTCATGTGATAGAATCAGATCACCCCAGAAGTCAGTCCCACATCCAGGGCCGTCTCAAGGCATTAGGGGACCAGGGCAAATATAGGCTTGGAGCCCCCACCACCTCCCTCCCTGCTCAGATGGCTCTATAAGATGGCAGCGTGCTGAGAGTACAGATTGTTGTTGCTTTTATTTAATAAACAATAATTTTAAAGCACTGTTATTATATCTGACTGTTTTTAACAGCAATCCTAGCTCAGACACCACATCACTTTCCAGTTTCCACATATATGTCATGAGCTCACTGAGCGTCACATTACCAGATTCATATTGAAGTTGTTTTGGTGAAAGTAACTTAAAGTAATGCAAAAGTAGTGTAATGCCTTACATTTTAAAATCAGTAATATTGTAATGTAATGAATTACTTTAAAATGAGGGTAACACATAATAAATAATGCATTACAGTTTTGAAGTAACTTGCCCAACACTGCTCATAAGTAGTTTAGTCCTCCTCCGCACTGACGAAAGGACAAAGTCAGAAAGTTGTTTTTGTTCACTGATTATTAGAAGATGGCTCTCAGCCACAGACACCAGAGCTTTTGGTGTCATAGCTTGGTTCTCTGTCATCTGACCTACTTCTGGGAAGAGAATAGACCTGCATGCTGCTGCGAGCCAAACTGAACTCTGGACAGCCCCTGAATGGACACGCTAAATCCAGCTGGACCGAATTCAGCACAGCTCTCAAGGGTTTTGAGTTTAAAAACAAATTCATCATTTATCCAATAAAATACTAAAGCTGCAGAACAGTTTTAGGACACTCTCTTAGGTCTTCAGTGTGTTTTCATGGGTAATGGCATCAGTGATACCATCACAGGGAGTCTTCATGGTCTGCCGCAGCTCTCTGTTTCTCACACTGATTTTAGCAGCAACCTCCAGGGAGACAAATCTCCCCAACAGTCACGCGAATAAGTGGAGGATGTTTGTTTCTAGAGGGGACACACCCATCAGTGACAATATAAAAATACAACCTGACCACGACACATGTGCACACACAATTCAGTGTGTGTTTTGTCTCACTTGATGGACAGGATGTAAGTTTCCACTGGGATTCAAGCTCGACTGACAAAACACAACGGCTATGAAACAGGTTTATGTCTGTCTACAAAGTACAAAATGTACCACGGTGTACTGCTAAGTGAAACTTAAGATGACGTAAAACTAAGACCTAAAGGTCTATTAAACTGGCTCTTTACTTGTGGAGAAAAAATGAAATAATTTATTAAACGAGATGTAAAATATGTTAGTTGTTAAAGTTTTCAGGATAAAATTAGTCAGCTGTGAGTGAGTGGGCTCTTTTATTTAAGGCACAGCGGTCTATTAAAGTCTAAGAGTTACAACATTTTTGTGTGTCACAAACTGATCCAGCTCCAAAAGAAAAACAGTTAAAGTTTCTCAGAGTCTAGTCCAGCATGAGAGCTGCTGACTTACAAAGGTCCTGTTGTGTAAGAGTCCAAGACATCACTAACAGAACTCAGAATAACCAAACTCTCAGACAGGAGAGCACTGAACAACAATCACTTGTAAAGGATAAATAGCGGAAACTGTCATCCATCTGTGGGTTGTAAACATCTCCAAATGTATATTTGAAGGGAAAAATCCTTACTGAAGCACGGTGATGGTTGTATCATGGTTTTGGTGGGTTTTGCTGCCTCTGAGCCAAAACTGATTCTTGACGCAACCATTCCTTTCTGAGCTGAACTTGACGTTTTTGAGGCATCACATTCTTGTGCAACTTTCTTTCAAGAAAAATATGTGTAGTGTTAAGGATTGGCTACATATGTGTTAAATGATCAATAAGATGTGATGTTCCATATGAATATGAAATGTTGAATCATCAGAAGACTTTAGTTTCTTTTATTTATTCAGGGACCATATACACACTTCATATTAATTCAGACAGAGTCAAGTATATAGTTTATAAATTTTAATTTATTTCTATTTCCCTAAACTACAAGACAAGGTATGAATGAAATGATTGAATGTAATGGAACTAGATGCTTTAGCAAAAACTTTCTTAAGTATCTGAGATTGTGGAGTCTGGGTTGTAAAAATCAATTTGGCTGTAAGCTTTAATAAGCTAAACAGAAAACCGTCCGACGCAATTTGTGCCGAGTCTACGCACCTTTGTGTGAAGATCCCCAAGCGATCTAGGGGGTCGAGATGGACACTGCCGATGGCGTGAACCTCTGGTATCAGAGCCTGTAGACAGCTCAGAATACGACCCTCCTAGTCTGAGTAATCTTCAGGTAACGGCAGGAAGCTGGAGAGTCTATTTTGCGTCTAAGACTGTTCAGTGGCTCTTAAAAGAGCTGTTGTGTCTGCAATCACTCGCAAGCATTGCAGAGAGGCTTTGATCTTGAGGTCAAACGATAGGATGGTCTCAAAATGGTTGTTCACTGGTTTGGCCGGACCGGGAGTCAGCTAGAAACTCCTGGCTGGCTCGCCATGATATGTAGCGTTAAGGATTGGCTACATTTGTGATAAATGATCAATAAGATGTGATATTTACAAGTCCATGATTTTAGACAGTCTGTTTATTCAAAGTCTTACAGGATCTGATGATAATATATAAATCTGATTTACAGACAGCTAAGCTGAGAATAAACATACCTAAATTTTGATATATTTCTTTAAACTGGTTTCTCGAAACTGGTCAGACAGGTTTGACATGTGCTTCTGCACAGCTCTCTTAAGGTCCAACCACGCCGTATTTAACAGACTGACGTCTGGATTACAGGCTTTAAAGCACCTTGATTATTTTCTTCATTTGCTCATCATGTTGTAGATCTGCTGTTGTGTTTGAATCATTGTCCTGTTTAATGATTCCATTTAGTCCAAACTTCAGCTTTTGGACTAAACTTTTGCATTTTGACCTCCAGAGGTTTATGGTGACATGCAGCAAGGGGCCCACGTCACTAGCCCTCCACCACCGTGCTGACAGCTGGTGCCGCTTTTAGTTTTATCCAAATGTGCTGCAGTGCATTATGGGTAAATATCTCTACAACCAGCTATATTTATTTTAGAGAGAACAAGCTTTGTCCTGCAACCCTTCTAAACACACATTTAATCAGCAGTACCTGGATGCTGGTTCCACTCATAAATACTATGAGAAACTCTAAAATGTAAAAACGTGAACACTCTTTTTGCCCCTGAAGATAAAGATTCTGAGCAACTGTAACAAACATTAAAGACTCACCAGCAGGCCCTGGTTTCTGCACAGCACGGTGTAGGCAAAAGCGGGACACGGGCAGTAGTGACAGGACAAGAAGCAGGTGTACAAACGACCCGAGCCTCCCACCACCTGCAAAAGGATGATGATGGAGCTAATGAGAGTCAGTAGATGGATGGAGAGGCATTAAAACACAAGCAATGATTCCAGAAAGGTGTTTTCTTTCTTTTAACTGATAAGTTTCATCTTTCTCTCTGCAAATTAATAAGAAACTGTATAACTCTGACGTCAACCGGCAAATCTTGTCTTTTAATTCACATCTAATACCTTCAGAGTGAATTACTTGTAAATATGATTTCCTTAGATTGCAGCGATCTCCCGACCACACGAGGCCTGCAGCTGATGTAGAATTTAACTGTTCACGCTTTGTGACAGCAGACCCATGAAGACATGGGTTTTAATTCACAGCTCAGGCCAGTCGAGCATCTTTATAAGGCTGTAGAATGTCAAAGCCCGTAGTCAGATGCTGTCTAAGCCAGTCAGCAAGTAATCATCTCCAGAATGTTAATAAAAATCAGATCTGAAAGCTCAAGATTAAACAAGTTTAATTGTTGTAGCAGGTCTGATAGCTGTCAGCGTTTCCTCCCAGATTAAGACTGAGATTTAAGCGTTGCTCCTGTGCTCTCAAGTGGACACGAGGACCACACGTTGGTGGATTAGCGCACAATAACTAATGCTCCTTGAGGCTGGCTCCATTATTCTGCAGGCTTTGAATAAATCACCTTTCCCTCTGACCTACAAAAGTAAAAACACCTCATTTGTTCTGTGCTACATTTCATTATAAACAAGGCAGAAAAGAGACAGGGATGCAGACTTAAAGCAGCATGGAGAAGATAGATAACGCACCGTGAGGAGGAATAGTAAAACAAAAAAGCCAGGATTGTTGAAAACCAGCTCACACTTGGACTCTTTTTGTTTTCTGCAGGCATCAAGCATAATGGGGCTCTGCTGCAGCTCACAGCAAAGCTGGCGGCTTAAACGATCCAAGGGCAGAATTTGGTGATCTTCAATAAATAAATAATCTGCATAAAAAGTCAAGAACATGATGTCCTCTTGAGTTCTGTTTAAGTCAGCGACTCCGTGTGTAGAAACTCTCAGCCACTGGCTGCTTTCCTGTCCATTTACGGCGTCCAGATTCTGCTTTATGTGCTGAAAGAGCTTCTCACTCGTAACTTTATTCTGAAATCCAGATGCTGGAGTGCACTTGAATAACCATAAATCTAAAAGAAAATAAGAAGAAATAAAATGATAAAAAAAGAACTGTAAAATGAAAATTATCATGCAATCTGATTAACTCTGTGGATTTGTTAAAAATAGATTCATAAAACATGTTATGTAATGGGAAAAGCCACATTTCATTATTTACTCTCATTTAGACTCAAACTTTTAGGACAAAAAACACACAAAAATAGAAAAATTATATTCATCATGCTACAATAGAATTTCCTTTCATTTAATTTATTCTAGAACAATGCAGCATTTCTGCTCAGACGTGTGTGTCCTAACGGACGCCGGTTCATCCTTCCTTATGTAAAGGTCAGTGGATGTTAGAAATGAGATAAGGTGAAAAATCCCAACAGTGAAATGCCACGTTCTCGTGAGTTATTCTTTCCTTTAGCGGAAACGGGACCAAATAAACACAAGATGAGAAATTCAGCAGAATCTGACGAAACAATATGATATGTAAGCAGGAAATGACAGAAAATCATGGAATTGATTTATCTGTCGGTTCTGTAGACACACATTAGTCAGATGAAGGAGATTTCTATCAGCCTTTGGGAACTTGGTCATTAATTGAGGGCAACTTTATTTCAATGTTTCTACCACATTTGTTCACCAGAGGCTCAGTGTTTTCCAAGTCATAGTGATGTCACATCCAGACCAAAGATGTCGCGCACAGAGCTACAGCATCCACGACTTGACCTCAGATCCATAACCCTCTGGAGGCAGGCGATGCAGATTTGCAACAGTTAAAACCTACCTACCTGGTTACTCCACATACGTATTTCATGATCATTTTTTAACTCAGAATTACCCCTGAAGGACTTACAGTAGTTGCTCGTCCTTTTATCAAAACTTATTTTGAGCCTGAGAGGGTTAAAGAGATGTTTTTATCACCTACAGCACATCCGTCTTAGGCTCGGTTTAATTTAAACAACTTAAAACAATTTAAAAACTGTTTTGTTCATCAAAGAATCCAATTGAAATCTGAGGCTGACAGACAGCAGGATCCTAAAGGAGCATTTATGTCTTCTAGATCTTTAAATCAGATCCAGAGAAAAATATCTAAGCCAAGACACAAGGAGCTACAAATACATGAAGAAAACAAACAAAAATAGGAAACACCCGTTCTGTCATGAATCGACGTTTTCTTTGTTGCAGGAAGAGGAAATGTCAGCGTGTCTTCGGAGGAATCAGGTGAAACAATCCCAGCCTAGCAGAACAAAAACTCACATTCCTCCTCAGCTCTGTTGTCACTAACAGCTCAACTATTTTTAGTCTGAAGGAGTTTACAGGAACCTTAGGGCACGATGACCCCGTTTCTCACACCACTGCGTCCTACCAGGCTTTACTCTGAGGACAGCGTGGGACACAGAGACAATCAGCTGTTTCTGAAAAACTGGATCTTTTGTTTAAATGCAGGAAATAAAAGATCACTTCCTGTTTAAAAGGATTCATGAATATAGTTTTAAACTTTTGTTCTTCGTGTCTTTGTAAATGTTTGGGAAGTAGAAAGCTAAATGTTGTAAAGCTTAAAAAAGTGATTATTTTAATAAAATGTTTCAAAATAAAATCAGAAAACTGCTTGCACCGTATTTCAGAACTATGTCATCAAACCTTTCCTGTCGCGGTTTTGAATAAAATAGATTTATAATAAAAGTTTTTAAAACAAGATTTCAATGAGAAGATTTGCTTATTACAAGGAATTTTTTGCTTTTATTTCTCCTAATTGGGATTAGTATGACCTCGGAAATATATTATCTGACAACTAAATGGCTTTGTCTTTACCTAAAATATCAAAAGTTCACATTTAGACACATTTATGCTGATAATCTGGGATTAGGTGAGACTAAAATAAATTATATTATTCTATAAATCTTTAGATTTATATAAAAAAATGTTAGGCATATTTAGGATAAGAATCATTTAAAAGAAAGGATTTTGTAATAATTAGATGTTTGTTATAATAACAACAATAATAACATTTATTGAGTCATAATACATAGACAGACAAAACACACACACCGCTGGGTTTAGTGTTATGCTCGAGGAAAAACCAGCACGCCTCTAAGATGGCACCAAATCGAGCTATAGCTGTCCCACAAGTGTCTCACAACATAACTGATCACATCTCTACTCAGTGCTCACGAGTGGTTCTGTAGGCAAAAATCAGTGAGATCAGAGGCTGCTAACACTGAAAGAGCAACTTTTCTACAGTTGGGATAGAAACAGTAGCTAGATATTAGCTGTGAGTTTATTTCCTTTGTAAAAAGACCAAACAGTGGATGGATGGGACACACTGAAACAAGTTTGTTTGGGCTTCTTGGAAAAAATGTTGTCTGATGTGAACATTTTGACCTAAATTATAGCTGAAATTACATCCGGAGTGCCTTGTCTCCGATGAAAATTATACTAAGGTCTCAAAAATATTACAACTCAAATGTCACCTCTAATAGTCCAAATAAGATATGACTGAAAGTCTTTCAGTGTCTCACTCAGTGATTAATGAAACAATTGTTTTGTAAGAATTATTATCCAAATGAGCCATTTTTGAAGCATCAGACACTTTAAAAAAATTACAAAGAATATATAAAAAATTAAGCTCGTAAAAGTCAATGACATCATGCATTGTGGTTATCTGACAGACCTGGAAAGCCTTGCGCCCACTGGGAGACGTCAGACACGTGACAGAGCGCTGGTCCACCAGGTCCAAAGCTTGTAATGCACAAGAGCCAAAGACAAATTTCAGTCTGTAAGACACAAAAGGGTTTAGTGAAACTGTGCAGAAACTAAACAGCAGCAAACTCATGACTCAGCTGATTTTCATTAAAACAACCACCATTCATCTCCTTATTATGGCCTTTTATACCCATCACAATGATTCCAACTGAGTAGTATGGAGCAAATATGAAATGTGTTCAGTAAACATTTACTTACGCAACAAGGAGATCATCGGGAACTGCAAAAACAAAATAGGATACTTTTTAAAAACTAAAAAAATGTTTTCATATTTTGTTCAAGGATTGTATGGATAATTAAAAGTTTATTTAAAAAAAGCTGTTTGGCTATCTCTGAAGGAAAAAACAAAAACTGCCTTAGTTACTATAAAATGACAAATCTGTGTTGGGTAATAAATGATAAATGCTAAAAGGATGCCAATAAATATTTCAATTATAATAAAGTGTTCGAATGTTCAAAATAATCTGTATAATTTTGTACATGTAAGAAATTGCTGAGTGTTGTTTCAAATCAAGAACAATTAGAAAGGTTATCACAATTTTTACAACACCCAAATTTAATTAGTCTCTATAGGGTTTATATTCTGCCTCACTTGAGTATAAATTTAGATTAAAATTAAAATAGTAAATTTATATTAGTGTAACACTCTGGATGAGCTGAATGTTACTCCAGTCTCTTCGGAGTAAGATCTGCAGTATCCACCAGTGTAACATTAGCTCTGGCTTGGTGTAAAACACAAAAAGCAGGTTTGTAAACTATAATGTGTCTTGAGAAAAGCACTGCTGTTCATATGAAAAGCTGTTTATTTTTAACTAATCTGTCACAACGTGAGGAAGAGATGTCGTTATGAAGAAACAGCGCCCCCCACAGTCCAAATCCTAAATTACACTAGTGTTACGCAAAGAAAATGTGTAAACTCTGTGTTTAGGGAGCTAACTTAAATGAATTTACGTATTAATTACTAAAAAGTAAACAATTCAACAATTGTTAATAAAAAAAGAAAGGGAAAAATAAATAAAAACAGTTCCGAGTCCTGTAAGCTAGCCGTAATGCTACATTCATTTTCCGTAACCGATGTCCGTAGCAGAAACCAAACTAGCAGACGTTAATACCATTATTGTTGTGATCTTACTTTGAACAGCTTCATCATACGTTTTCTTAATGTCTTTAAAAAGTTGTTCAGCCACTGCAGGTAAGAATGACTGCATTGTTTTGTTTCTGTTGCTTTTCTTCTTCTCATAGCGGATTGCGAACGAGGGCTCACACTGCCTCCTACTGTACGTAAGTGTGACAACACCCTTTCAGAAAACCATATTGTCCTTTTTTCATCTTGATCCTATATTTTTATTATACCTCTACACCAACCCTTCTTTCGCCTTTTTCAGTGGAAATAATATAGATCGTTTCTTGGAGGACAGAAACTTTCGATAATATATCAGCATGTCCATCTACCTTCATCCTTTCAAATGAAAGCACCCAACTCCAAATCTTGATTTGGTGTAAGTAGCCCTTATACATTTTAAATGTGTACAAAAATGCTTGCTTTTGCTTCAGAAGTACATTAAAGCGGGAACAACCCACCTGGGAAACTCATTAGAAATTGTCAATAGCTGTATAGACCCCCCCCCCCCCCCCCCCCTAATCTCACTGTGGCCAAGATATCTAGCAAGGTCTCGCAATTCTGGAAAACCAAACAGTCACTTTAAATATGAACAAAAGACAGTAAATAATGAGCATAAGAATACTAAATCACATTAAAAAAAACATTAGAGACTGCATTTATTATATTGCAACTTATGACATGGTTTCATTTGATATTTCATGGATTTGCTGATAAGAGTCCAAGTGAATAGTCGAGAACAGCTCAGAAACCAAGCATCAGGACAGTGTGCTGTCAAAAATAAAACAAACAAAAAATGCAATCAAATATAATATAGCACACCTTTACACCTACAATTCAGTGGAGAACTGATCCACTTTATTTGATTGGTCTGAACTTTTGTAATAGCCTACTAAGAGACATTGTGCGATACAAACAATGCATTTTAACATCACATAATACATGGGGGGTTCAAGTCTCAATTTCAAAAAACGACAAAGTAAATGTCACCACTGTGTGTTTAATAGAGCTGATATATGCTTCAAATTCTTACTTTTTCTCTGCTTCATGTCAGATTCCTTTAAGATTCAAGTTTGTAAACTTCTATTTGTTTTTTTTATTACGCCTGTAAACACATAACACCCCATCACAGCAGGATGGAGAACACAACCAACAAAATAAAAATCTGAGTGTGTGCCATGACAACATTTGTAAATCATAATAATTAATTGATAAAGGAAACATCAAGTTTAAAGAACAAATCTGTTAACCGAGTAGAGTGAAAGTTAGAATTATTTGTCACATATTAAAAAAAAGAAACAGTCGTTTATGATGCTGACCTAGAAGAAATCGTATGTGCTGTCCAACACAATGAAAGCAGAGAATAAGTGATCAAGGCTCTGAATCACCATGACAGCTAACTCCTAAAGGATGTAACGGTACCATGCACCTAAAACTTACTCTGATGCATGTGTCAACAGGAAAAATGGTCATGTACCAAGCTGCAAGAAAAGACAGGAAGTAAAAATCATCCAGATGAGTGATGGGAGAAGTTAAAGCACATCTTAGTATAGTCCTGGGCTGGAAGTTGAATAAGTTACACAGCAGGTAGAATGCTTCGTCTTGTTCAAAAGCCACAGAGCAATCAAAAGTGCAACAATGGTGCAGACCATTTTTTAGGTTTGGTTAGTCTCATCTTATTGTGTCATGGAAAGACAATTTACAGAGTTCAGATTTTTGTCAGGACAGCAAAATAAAGAAAAATTAAAAAGAGGGACTATAGAAACAAATATGAACATCAAACACCAACATATATCTCTGAGAAAATGTGTTAAAGCTGCCTTCTCTCAACTAGCAAGGCATGGCTAAAGCATCCCTCTTGAAAGAAAAAAATTAATAACCCTTCCTGACATCTTGAAACAATAAAAGTTACTCTGGGTTGACACGCTGCATAGTCAGCTCTCTTAAAGGAAGATAAATGAAGCAAGAATAAAATAAAAACAATTCATTGGCTCACGTTCATTACCGAGGTGGGGTCCAGAAGTAGTCATATTTCTCCAGAAAGCTTATTTCAGACTTTTCACCATTCTGCTGTGACACCAGTGTTCTCACCTCGTCTCTGCTGTAACGGGGCGACAGGTTACCTCTACCATCTGTTAGTTACAATCCATTCACCTGACTGATGCTGTTCCAAACGTTACGCTTTTGTTTCGCCCTCCTGATGTGAAAATTGTTCAGGCTCTGGTGGTGCTTGGTGGGTGGCGAGCAGCGTGGCGCACTTTATAATCGGCTAAGGGTCAAGTACAAACCACAGGTCTGGATTCTCGAAGCGTCGCACCAGTTTAACAGCAAAAAAAAAATAAAAAAAAAAAAATCTGGGTTGAGTTGGTTGGCGCTGGACTGGGAGAGCAACTGCACTATTAAAAATTACACATCTGCTCCTCCTATTCAAGGTGGATCCATTTAAAAGCAACATTAAAATAAGAAATAACCAAGTTAAGAAAAACACTGCAAAAGGTTACTCTATTTACATACAATTCTCTTAAAGACAAGGTATCTTTACAGAAATCAGACACAATTCAGAAATAGCTTCTTATGTTTTTTCTTCTTTTTACACATTAAGTTCTTCCGCTTGACAACAGCCAACGCCGTCTCCTCTCTGTCATTACTCCGACAGGCTGGGTGCAAGACTCTGGAGGAAAAGCAAGTCATGTTCCAGAGAGCCCTGCCTGCCCCATGCTGCTGCTTGTACTGCTCACTAATAGCAGGGGGCACTATAGCACCAAAAATAAAAATGACACCGCCTCATCAGCTTGTCACACTCTCCAAAGAGAGGGGTGTGAACCGGCCAGCCTCAGCGTAGGCCTCTCTTCTGGTAACTGGGAGCTGGAGCAAGCAGACCTCAGTCGTCACTGTCAGACAGGGTCTCGTATTGTTCTGACAGCAGAGACTGCCACACTCGCGGCTGGGCCACAGGTGCTTCAGTTGGAGGTGCCTGCTGCTGCTGGCTCTGTATAGAGGGAGAGGCGATAGAGGTGGGTGGAGCGCTGGTCATCATCCGCATGTTCAGCAGGTTGTAGGGAAACTGCATAGGACCTTGCAAGGGAATTGGAGAGGAGTGCAATGATGAAAAGAAGCACAAACAAACGTGGTCTGCGATTTTAAAAAAGCGTCCCTGCTCACCTGTTGACGAGGGTCGATCGTCCCAGCTCAACGCAGGTTGAGTTGGTCGGTAATAATCACCCTCAGAGTGAATGGAGGACACTGATGAGGGACGATCCCCTCCAGCGTAGGCCTGACCCAGGTTAGGCGACTTAGATTTGCGGCTGTTTACTTTGCTCTGCTTCTGCTTTCCTGCACAGTCAAACAGGAAGTGTGTGTAAGTCAGCAGCTTGCAGACTTTGTACTGAACGTGTGTGTCAGCTGTCTGAGTTTTTAGCGTACCCATACTAGGAGACAGGGTGGCCTCCTGCCGGGTGTCACTGCCCGTGACTGATGAGTTGTTGATGGAAATGGGCCCTCCTCCTCCCTGGTGCTCATCTGGCCTCTCCTCCAAGTTCCCCATTAAAGCCTTACGGATAATGTCCTCTAAGCCCAGGTTACTTGCTGGGTCATTATAGGACTGGTTCCTTGGATTGATGTTGCCTACAAATAAACACACAACAAACCAACCATTAGATAAGACCAGAACCGAACTGTGATGCATCTGAAAAGCTGTCACTTCAACTCACTGGAGCTAGTTACAGCAGGCAAGTTGAAGATCTCTGTGCCTGGCTGTGCATTTCCTGCAACACAATTTTTAGTTTTTGAAAATTAAAAATAAAACACCAAAATTATTCCGAAAAACAGTGTTATTACATGCACGAGAAGTGAGAAGAATTAGTGGCATTTAATGGGGAGCGAAGACCCACTTACCAACGTCAGAATCACCAACACCAGAGGTGGAGTTCAACTTACGAAAGATTTCCTGCTTCTTGGATTTAACCATGGGCGAGGTGTTCTCCAGCTTGGTGAAGAAAGAAGGCAGGTAGCTGACACTGCCCGGAGACCTCGAGTCACCCCTTTAACCAAAAAATATACATGGTTACAGCTTAAGTGTGATATCCAACTTGTGATGGAGCAAACTAATCATCTGCAAACAAAGAACTGTTTTACAAAGCTTGTGAAGATGTCGTACCTAATCTCAGAGTTGTCAGCCTCTCGTCTCTGGGATGGGACTCCACCCGCCTCTTGTTTGTCCATGCCTTGATAGACTTGAGGCGGAGAAATGGGCTCATAGTTCTCCATCTGCCTGCCTCGTTCTGGAGACTTGCCAGGCCTGTGAAGAATAAGGAGGATGAGTTTGATGCTTAACAGATTTAAAATTAAGATGACCGTTAGAGACTTTGTGTACCTGGATCTGGGCTTGTCAGGGATGTTTTCTGGAGAAACCCTGCTAGAGAGTCTCTGGTGGTGTGGGGCCTGGACCTGGTTCTCAGGACTGTATCGGTTTGGTGCTTTGACTCGCCCTGAAGAGGACACTGGTGGCGTGGCGCTCTGGAAGGACGCAGGCGCTGAGGAGGACACTGGGGGGTCTTGATTCCGTGCAAAGTCCTGGGTTATTATATGCTGCAAATAAAAAAAAAAGCATGGTCACACCTGATGATATTTGCAATACATTACAGTTACAAAACACACACAATGAAGTACTCTTACTGAAATGTGGTCCGCCAAGGTCATGACCCTGTGAGTTTTGGGGACCTGTGAGTAGCTGTCTGCCTGGGAGGAAGGAGGTGGAGGTTGTTCCCCTGACGACCGGTAACGACTCATCTCAAACGGACGCAAGCCAACTGTAAGTTTGACAGGGGACAGCTTTATTAGATACGATGGCACAGCAGTGAGCTGTTAGGCTCTGCGCCAAAAGGATCTGCTCTACATCTGCTGGCAGGTGGCAAGAATACTTGAGTATGGTCCGGTGACTGAGCTGGTGGGAGTGGAATCCTGTCTGAGAGCCTCAAATGCCACTGGGTCAGGCATGCTCGACCCGTTCTCCAACTGTAGCCAAATTTAGCTGCTGCTGCTTTTGCCTCATTATTGTAACAACTCAACGGTTTTTACAGCTGATTGTCTTCATACCTGCTGCTTGCTGCTGCACATCCTCTGGTTTATCCTGCTGGACTTGGACAGGTGAACTAGCAGGACTGATCACCTCAATGGCTCCTCCAGCAGCATTGTCATAGCGACTAGATGACACTACCAGATATTTGATAGGAAAAAAGAAAAGGTAGGGAACAAAGCACAAAAGTGAGAACAAGCCACTGTTTTGTTTTTCTATGCAGCTAACTAATAATGTTAGTGTGGTTCAATGAACTGAGGTTTAAAAAATAACCTACAGCTACTTGAGGAGTCAGAGCTCTGAGAGCCTCGCTCACGAGAATCCTTGTCTGAAGCTATTTGGCGCGTAATGATGACGTCGATGAAGCTAGCGGCTGTCATGGTCGTCTTTCCGTGAGTCCGGAGCTCCTCTTCGATGCGGGCCTTTGTTTGAGGAACTTTTTCTTTTGACACAACCCCGGTGCCATCGGTGTAAGCTGGGTGGGGTTTACCGCCAGGTAGAGGCATGGCGTTATACGGTGAGTGCAGTGACCGTCTGTCCGCCTCCTGCTGCTGCTGCTCAGAGAGATTTTGTGCTCGTCGTGACGCAGCTGGCGAGGACATTTCATCGTCCCTTTCGTGCTTGCTCTCCTTCACCTTGGCGACATCCATCTGTGGAGCAGCAGCTGCTGCGTCCACCAAAGCAGCCAAAGCATCAGCTGCTGTACTGTAGCGGGAGCTGCTCTGTGACGCTGATGTTGATGTAGGTGGATGAGGCCTGCGAGGATAAAGGAAAGAGGGGAAGTATTAACAAGATCTAAAGGACCTAGGTTGATCAGTTCAATCTAACAGTTGTAACACAAACCAGCATCAGAACATGAAGCACAAAAATGTTCAAGAGAACGGGGATGGAGCTTCTATACATCCTTTAAGAGAAAACAGATGAACAGCTGGTTCAGGTCGAGTTAAACTAATTTCACTGTTAATGAAGTTAGTCTGTCTATCAGATCTTAGCATTTAAAGACCAAGTTCACTGAGAAACCATATTTTTTACTTATTATTTTTGAAAATGATCAGTCACTCTGAGTTTAACATGCAGGTTGAATGTGAAAATGGTCTTCTACCCCCATTTCCTGCATTAGCTTCTAATAGGAAATTGATGGAAGAATGATTTATGTGACACTGTAAATTAGCCTTCATGGCTTCATCCATTTGGCTCATAACAGGTACGGCTGTTGTTGATTTACCGTCCAAGAGAGAGCAGAGAACGTCTTGGCTAGTAGAAGCCAACAGTTAGCATTAGCAACTCCACCACATGGCAGAACTCCTTGCGTTATTTGTGGAGATAGAGCATCATCGTTGCAAATTAAACAGTCAGAGATAAGAGTCATGTTGCTGTTAGCCAATCAGAGGTGAGATAGCAGAATATCAGGAAATAAAGACTCCAAAACCTGCTGTGTTCTGTTCCTCTCCCCTCTGCTCTGGCTCACTTCAACTTCCTGAAACAGGAGCTTCAGAGCATTTTCCTCGCAGAGGTAGACTCACAAGGCAGTTATTTGTACTAGAGACCACTGCAAATGTATTGAAAAAAGAGTGAAATTGGTCTTTAAACCCATTTCTGAATCAGAATCTACAGAACAAGCTCATTTTGAATGCAAACACAGTCATGAAACACTCACCCCCCCCCCCCGGGTATCTTCCCTGAGGTTCCAGATTCTTCATTTTGTTTTTAATCTCCACAATATATTTATAGCTATACTATTTTAGTACGTTGTTAAGAAGCACAAAAATAATGCTTTATGTCGATTTGTTTTCCAAATTTACTATTGCAGCTTTAAATAAACAGAAATATCAATACTGTATTTTCACGACCATAAGGCGCACCTAAAAGTCTTACATTTTCTCCAAAATGTACGCCGCACCCTATGGTGCGGTGCGCCTATTGTGTTGTTGTGAGACGCGAACGTAGTAGAAGACAAGGGGCGTGGTGTGAACGTGCGGACGTGAGCGAAGACAGACCTGTGGATCTGCAACATCGTCATCAGCATCCTCGCTATTTGCCTCAGACTCCGGCTGTAAGTCTCCGTCCACTTCCTCTGCTTCCAGTTCCAAAAACAGCCGTACTATCTGAACTGCCTGGTGGACATTTATCCTTCTCATCATCCTTTATATAAGCCTAATAAAAGCCTACTAAACTGCAGAGACAATATAACTGTCCGGATCGCTCCAAAATATGAAGTTTACGTCAATATCTGTCTAATTTGTTGTTACTCCGTTCTCGCCACTCCTTTCCCCTCGAAGCGGCTCCTTTTTGCGCACATCTCATTACTCGTGCGGCCTTCCTCTCTCTCTCAGCTACATAATGATACTTTTTATCAATTGAATATGTGAGACTTCCACCAACAGCAAAAGGATCTCGTGTTTTTGTGGGTTTTTTATGTTCACAAGCACATTCCCTCTCACAGATTACTAAACTGCTGTTTTGACAAGTTATCAGATTGTCTAAAAATAGGTAGTTTTTGAGTTTAGTATAACTCCGCTTTTACATTGCCTATTAACAAAATTTAAAAACTTGGGTGTAGCTTATAATCTTCTTTTTAAAGCTGAATTGAAATCGAAACTCAGGGAGGCAGAGTCTTGCTGCTACAGCGTCCCAAATGAGACCTGATCTAAAGACGCGGATACGCGTCCATGGACCCCAGAGGGTTAATAAAACACAATTCAAATCACACTATTTTCTTAGGCCTATTAATAACACACATATGATTTTGTTCATGTGGAAAGTTTATGTGGTTAAATCCACCAACTAAACACATTCTGAAATTCAACACAGCGCATCAGCGCTTGAAGCGGCGCTGTGAGCAGCTGCGACCCAAAAAGTACCAGAACCGCTCACGACGCATGTACAATCATGCATCAACACTGCTCGCCCGCTATTTCCCTAATAACACACGCAGTTCGTTTTTATTTCTACATGTTTTTTTACTCACAAAGATTGTCAAGAAAGCGTGCTTGTCGTGATCATGTCAAATTAAACTGATCACAAAACACAGATTTACTTTCTTTATTTCGTTTTCCTCATCCAACCCCCATAAATCCCTGTGTGTCCTCCTGCAGCACTCCCGGTGTACGCCCGGCTTTAGTAGGAGGGAGACCCGCGATTATCGCTTTGTCGCGCGTGTCTCATTGAAAATAAATGGAGGAGAGGCGAAGTTGCCTCCCGTGTGTCGAGCCCATTAGAAGAGCACGAGCCGTCAGCGCACGCAATGAGGAAGTGCACGTGCGCTCTAAACCAGGTCTGAACCAGGACTAGACCAGTAAAGTGAAGCATGCTTTTGGCTGTTTATAATTTTCACAATGTCTGGTTTGCACTGATTATCATGTTCCGAGTCCCGAGCCCGCACAGATGTTTTACCGGTACGTACGTTTTACCGTGCCCGCGCCCTCTAACCCGGTGTGCCTTTTGTATGTGTTAAATACCAAAAAGACACCCGTAACTGAAGCTGCGCCCCATAACACGGTGCGCCCTATGGTCATGAAAATACGGTATTTTCCTGTGTCCAACTTAAAAAGTGTGGAATAAAAAAATGTTTAGTTCCAAAAATAAATAAACATACAGTATAAATAAGGGGTAAAAAAAAAACCTACAGAATGTAGGTATTAAACAAGAGTCAGAAAAATAGCTTGGCTTTGTTTGCAATAGAAGATGGCACATGCTTCAGCTCAGAAACTGAAGCCATGAATGATGAGGTGCTTTATTAAATTGCAAGTATTTCCATATTAAGCAACACAAATCTCAACAGATACAACATTTAGTTCTGTTGCCATTAATTTTCACAAAATGCAGCCAAATTTTTGATTTTATCGGCATTTTCTTGGTTCGCGAACTCAGAGAAGTGTTGTAAACCGAGTGAGAGAGAGAGCAGCATCTCCCAGTCACATGCAGCAGTGAGTGCTACGGCGTTGTGCAGCTGATTAACTGTGACTTTTTTTGTGGGGGAAAATATCAAAATTCAACACCAAGAGATATTTTTCGAAACCAGCACCTACTGAATGTTTTTAGTCTGCCCTATAAAGAGTTTCGGTACATAGTCTTATTGGTGAGGGTTTAAGCTTACATCAGAGAGGTGATGACACTCTTTCCCTGGAAGATGCTCGGCCGCTGCTGAACTACTACATCCTGGGTCCTGAGCGAGGGAGAAGGAGGGTGCATGTACCCTCGGCTCCTGGGCCGGCCTGGCTGCTGCTCGGCTGCACCTAAACACAGGAGGGAGAAAAGTCGTTACTGGTTTCAAAACTCAAGAGCTTGAATAAAACAAAAACAAATCTAACTAGAATTTAAGAACACATCTGCTGCACTTTGAAGCAATAATCAGAAAAAAACGTACCTCCACGAATATATTCATTAGTTCGCTCCCGCTCTCGCATTTCCCGCTCACGCTCCCTTTCCCTCTCCCGCTGCTCCCTCTCCTTTTCCCGCTCCTTCTCCTGTTGCTCCCTCTCCCGCTCTCTCTCTGCAGCTAGATGAGCTGGATGGCCTGAAAAAAGAGAGACCACATGCACAAAATACTTACAACTACCCACTGGGCTTTTCAACCAACTGAATGGCTTTAAGTTTCAGCATCTTGTCTTTTGTGACACATCTTTAAAACAAAAGGAAACAATTCTCAGCAAAACCACTCAATTAAAACACATTTTGTTTACAGGTTTACAGCTAATCATCAATAAACCAGGGAATGCATCCCAGGCATAAAACACATGTCAGCTTTCATTTCTTTTATAGTTATTTTAGTCATATTCTTAAGCCTGTTATAGTTACATGGGGCGTCAGTGCTTACCTCTGTCCCTAGGTTAAAAAGTCACGATCTCTAACTGGTTCACAACTGATCCAATCACCATTTTAATGTCCTCCATTTTACACCATATCAACAGATTGAACTAAACTCTGTATTCATACATATTAACAGCTTCATTGGAGTAGCTCTTTAACGGAGTTTGGTGGTGCGATCACATGTGCATGCACGCACACAGGTTTAGTTTAGCAACTTCACACTTATCACAAACCATGCAGCTGACGCATGTTAGTGACTTACTTTGCAATAACTTATATGGTTCTGAACACACAACTGCTTAAAAGGCACAAAACCCCGAAATGCTCAAGAGCCTTTATAAAATGTTTTCATTTAAATGATTATAGCAGTATGTTAGAAGAAAACCGATTTTATACTTTAAGTGTAACAAAAAAAAAAAAATTAAACTAGTTTTCAGTTAATCTACATGCTCTGAAAAAGTATACTTATTAATAATAGCAAAAATTTAAATACAAAAGATAAAAATTGGGTGAAATTCCAAACTGCATTTATTTTGTTAAATGGGTGATATAAGTGGGGATGCTCCGATCCAATCACCTGATTGAAAATTGGATCTGATCACGTGATTTTCAGGAAATCGGAATCGGTGGGAACATTCAGATTTAACCATTTAAAAAGAAAAAAAAATTCTAACAAAAAACAATGGCTTAGTTCAACGAGTTCCTCTACATCAGTATTCTTTGTTTCACAAACATCAATGCTGGAAGTCCCACAATTTAAGGTAGTCCGGGAATTCACACACCATAACATGTAGCAGTTAGCTAACATAGAGCATACTTATCACCTCAAGAGAGAGAAAATGTCTAATTTGGATGTATTTTTAAATGAACAGCAAAGGGTGTGTAATAAAAACATGTAATGTGTGCAAACTGACCATTTAACGAGGTGGAAAAGGTACTGCTGTGTTCAACTCTGATGCGCCACCTTAAAAAGATCCTGCTCAGTTTGCTGCAGCAATTCAGCTAAGCCAGCCGACACTAAAAGATACATTAACTCATTCACTACCAATGACAACTAAAGTCGTCATTTGCATTTTTTTAATGTTTTGGGCATCGGAACGAGCCCCCGCGCTGAGAGAACAAACATCTCAGCTCTGAAGCCGATCTTCATCCGCATACGTCACACGTCACAAGATCAGGAAGCAGAAAATCCATGTGTTAGGAGATCGTTTTGGGCCGTTCCTGTAAAAAAATGTGAGGCGCGAACCGGAAAAGCGCCTGCCGATCACACTTAGACAACGGATTTTGAAAGAGTGGATAACGCTCGAAACACGCGGATTCTTCCTGATGGTCTCCTCTGTTTTGGTTGTTTTGGCGTCAAACTCATCCTAGCGTGCAACGTTCTGTGACTCTTAAAAAAAACAGTAAAAACGTTGAGAAATGCTGGCAGCGAAGGGCTTTAGTACAGATGTCCCGATCAGGTTTTTTTGCCCTCGAGTCCGAGTCATTTGATTTTGAGAATCTGCCGATACAGAGTCCCGATCCGATACTTTCGATACATAAAAAAAAAAAGAAAGAAAGAAAGAAAAGGAAGAAACAGTTCCAGAATGTTCCTTATTTTTTTATTTAATTACCATTTTATTTAAATTTTTAAACAGATCACTTCTGTGAGGTAGCTTGAACAATCAAGTACTAAATAACAAATTATTCACTTTTGGACTTTATTGCAAATATAAAAAGTTTTATATAAAAACAGATCACACCTCATCTTAAAATACCTGGCAGGGGTCCATTTTGCTTTGGCCCCCAAAATGCTTAGATACGTCCCTTGGCATGGGACAGAGTTTTGAAGATGATCTGAATTGTATCAACTATATAAATACTACATGCTGATAAATTACTGCTTTATACAGGTAGAAACCTGTAGTGGGATAAATCTACCTACATTTTATTTTTTTTAAGAACTTTGTTTTGTTTTCTTGGTTTTTATTTTCCTATCTTCCTGTCTGTCTCTGATCTTCCTGCATCTCCCAGTCCTCCAGAAAAACTCCTGCCTGCTTCCTTCTTTTTCACCTCACAAGTAACTTTTTAATTAGCAGATCAAATAGATCTATTGACCGCAAAAAAAGCGGAGTGTGCGCCGCGCTGCCCGGCTGAGCCAGTAACGAGCGCTGCAGCGAGAGCGCGTCCACGTCATGGTCAAATACAGACAGAACTTACCAGAGAGAAAATGAACGGACACGAATGACTGTGTGTTATATATTTTTTGGTGACACTACTTAGAAACTTAGAAAATGTTACTGTGGCCGTGTGCAGAACGCAGCTGGAGTTCATGAATAATCAGCGGTCTGCCTGCCGCTCTCTGCATCTCTGCTCAAAAGAATCCCTGCTACTCTGAGTCCATGTAAATAATATAATATAATATAATATAATATAATATAATATAGGTAGAAACTGGATCTCTTTTGTGCTCTTTCTGGGTGTGTAAATTAAGGGCATCAGGGGAGCCTGAGAACCTTTAAGGAGAACCAAGTTGCTTCTGCAATTTGAACCTGGTATCCAAGTCCGGATCGGCGCTTGGATTGGGAAGTAAAGCCCGAGTCCCGAGCAGTCTGAAACCATGTGATCGGGGCCGATTTCTGATCATGTGATCGGATCGGGACAACCCTAGGCTTTAGCGATCAGGAAACGGCTGGCAGTGAATGAGTTAAGAAATAGTGTACGGACAGCAAAAATGCCAAGATAGCAGCATATTTATCACATTGGTTTAGCATCTGTCGTTGCAAGCGTCAGGTTTTGCAGTCTCCTTTAGTTACGGTATGATCTGCTTTCTCTTCCTACTTTTACAGACGCAGCAAATCTACAGGTGTTTTGTAGAAAGAAGTTGCTTCTGACCATCATGTGCCATGCAATCCCTGTTGATTAGGGGTGTAACGGTTCATGGGGGACTGTTCAACCGTTTCGGCCAGTTCGGTTCGGTGCACTTGCATACCATTTCGGTTTATTTTATCCGTTAAATAATGAATTTTTATTTGCGTGGTTTAAGTGAGGCAGATAAAAGATCCTAGGCAAGTTTCCGCACGGACCCTGTTTTGAGTGATGCATGATGGCTGTCGCTGCTACCGTGGAGCCTGTAGAGACGCTGAACGGAGCCATCACACCTCCCACTTTTCTCTCAAACTGTGCAGGCACACAGCGGCAAAAATGTTAAACACGTCTGCTGAACATTCCCCTGCTACAATTGATGTAAAAGTTTCATACTACAACAAAAAATACGGCACGGAGGAAGCTCGTTATTTAATACGAATTTCAAAGAAGAAACTCTGGGCGGTGTGAGGTGAGTTTTTAAGGCTCATTGCAGAAGTAAAAACACGGAGCATCAACAGTCAAACACAACATATGTCTGTATGAGCGTGACACTCATAGCTGCACAAATAACGTGTGAAATAATTAAACACATCACGCTAGATCAACAGCCTGTGATGACACCTGGTTCTGCTCACTATAGGAGCTGCTTCAGATATTAAATAAATATAATAATAATATATAGAAAATTATTCAAACCGAGCTCTTGAAAACACTGAACCGAACCAAATACGATTTTAGCGTACCATTACACCCCTAGTGTTGATGAAAACGGTCACACACTGAGTTAACTATTTAAAAAATGAGCGGCAAGGCTACTTTTACATCTATTCTTAATATTAACACATTTTTTATTAATGTACTTCCTAAAAAAGTGATGTTTTATGGCTAAACAATTAAAGAAACACATTCATGTTTAAGAATAACTTGAAGGACAACTCTAGTGTGTTCTATTTTTTTAATTATAAGCAGGTACTACTAGGAAACGTCGAGGTGTTTCTTTGTGTAGACCAAAGCTATGGAACAGTGCAACAGTGGAGTTGAAGCACTAAGCACTTTTCACCCAGCCAACCATCTGCTTCAGCTGTTGAACCCAGGAAAACAGCCAAAACTGAGAGACTCGGGGGGAGTTTCTACCCTCCTCGATCAGAACAAGAAGTCCCACTACTAAAACTAGCACTAGTTACTTAAAGGTGTGGGAAACTCATTTAATCGTTACATTAACAGTGGTCTCGGGTAGGATTTAATTCCTTCCAAGTCAAACTTGGGGGAAAAAATGCCCAGAATCACTTGGATCAGCATGGACAAGTCTGCTGCAGAAAGCGGCTCAATACAGCAGGATTTGGAGTCTTATTCCTTGATATTTGAACACCTCACTTCAGATTGGATAACAGCAAAGTGGATGTTTTATTTCCACAAATAACACAAGCCTGAAGGAGTTTTTCTGTGTGGTGATGCTGCTAATGCTAATGGTTAGCTTCTACTAGTCAGGACGCTCTCTGCTCTTTCCTGGACTCTAAACCAACAACAGCCTTCCCCGTCGTGAGTCAGGATGGGTGAGTCCATGGATGTTATATCACAGTGTGATCTGGAGCTGACATGATTTTCAAATCCTGTTCACCGTCTATTTCCTCTCAGAGGCTAATGCAGCAAATAGGTGTAGGAGACTATTTTCATATTCAGCCTGCATGAAAAACTTAGAATGATGATTATAATCAGAAATAATCATTAAAGAATGTGTTTTTTAGAGTTTCACATCTTTAAATACACAGATTATGATTGAAACATTTCATGTATCCTTATCTTCCTAACTTTAGTTTTATTTAATATTATCTTGCTTACACTGTTGCTCCTCCATCTTTCTATGTATAATTTTATTTCAAACTTAATTTTGCTTTTACTTGTGTATATAAGGTGGTTCATAGTCACATTTTACTGTGGGTTGAGCATGTGACAATTTTAATCTGTTTTAATATTTGAACAAACATAACATAAAGAAGATGAAGGTGTCTGTGGAGGTCTCCGTTTGATTGGTTGTTGCTTACTGGAGTTAAAGTTCCAAAGCTGGAGGTGCTTGGCTTGCATGAATTTACATTGTGTAAATAAAATGTTTGTTGATGAAATTAAGGTTTATAATAACAAGGAGGATAAAGAAATAATAACTGGTGACTTATGGAGAACAGGTAGAACCAACCATAAAACCACATCCAGTATGGCTGGAATAACACGTCAATACTATTCATTTAAGTGTATTTATACAACGTCAAATCACAACAAGAGTCGTCTCAAGGCACTTTACAAAGTAAACGTTCAAAACAGTTCAGTTCATTAAGCCAATCAGTTAAAATTTTCCTGAATAAGGAACCCAGCAAATTACATTGAGTCCCTTAACCCTTATCTATGACCAAACAGACAACATTTATCTTTACCTCTCTCGGACCAACTCAGGGGGACACTCTCACTAGGTGTGAGGAACAATGAAGACCAGGGCAAAAGAGACAGGGTACAGAAGGAGGACAGCGGGGAGGGTGGGGGGGTCCTCACCTGACAATATGGAAGTTGGGTTGAAAGCTCTAAGAGGGAAAGGGGGTTGAGCTCCAGTGAGGTAGGCGGTGCGTTCCAAAGTAGGAGTACCTGTTCCCCCATGGTGAGGCAACAGGATAGTTGGAGGCATCTGGGCTAGATCAATCCCTTTTACAGACAGAAGCAAAGGGCCAGCGGTAAACAACATAAACCAATCCACCAATTTCTGAATGAATCAACAATGTGTACACTTATCACCTCTATCTATTAGTGCTCCCAAATACAGATTGGTCAGTAAGCAACAGGGCTGCAAACAAAGTGGAACAGTGGTCGGCTGGTAAGAGGCGACCACTCAGCAAATCACAATTTGGATGACCATACCCGACTGGCAAAAATTGAGTCATGGCCAAATAAGTTGCAGCCCCGGTAAAAAGAGCAAATCAGCAAAATTTGTTAAGGTCATTTGCTTCTGGGCGTCTGGAAAAGGTAGCCACTACTTCACAAGCACACGGTCTGCATACTACAGCGCCTACTGTCCACAGCTCCTCCCCAGATGGGAGGTGGCCAGCAAGGCGAGGGCCGTACCTCGAGAGATGACAACAGGCTGTTCCCGTGGAGACAAACCCCTGGCCATGTCAGGACGAGGGATGACTTGCATCTGCTGGGAAGTGATGTAGTCATTAAGAATGGTCTGCCGTGTGTTCTCCATGGTGTACAACTGGTAGGTGTTGTGGTAGCCTGTTGGCGAGGGCTGCCTGGGGAATATGAACGCTACAGCAGAGAACATGGAAAGGGAGAAAAAAAAACATGAACAGAAGGCTTACAGATATACAGATCACTGCTGACATCAAGAGCTGAAAAGGATCCTGGATATGCACTGGCTTATGAATTAAGAGTCGCTTTTAGAAATCAACGCAGACTCTGACATGAAAGAGGGATGAAAGACCATACCAGGATCCAGAACTCTCTGGTAGGCTAGAGCAGGGTCCAGATGTGGAGGCAGATGAGGTCGGTACACCTCTCCAGGAACCACAGGCCGATGGTGGGGATCAAAGGGGCTGTGAGAAGCTACAGGGTCTCCTCCTGACACCGGAGACTTGGCTGGGATACTGTCCCTCTGAGTTGGGGTCATGGTACTCTTTCTCTCATGTGCAGTGGATTTTGTGGAATTCATGCCACCTTCAGGGAGATGAACATAAATAACTCATGATTCAACAATTCAATTCCATCACAAATAACCAAATAAGAAGTGGCAAGGTAAACATTACATTTTATTTCATTATAGAGTTCTAAGGTCCACAGTTAGTGATAGAATTGGAACAAAGTATACCCTCTGAAGTGCGTCCCAGCATGGGGGAGCCTCTGGAAACAGGATTGGTGCTGTAGTTCACAGGGGTCCTACGAGCATTGGTGTCCTCGTACATGCCTGGGCTATGCTGGGCTTTTACAGCCTCCTGGTGTGTGGATCTCAAGACAGAGGTGGTGGAGTTGACCACAGATGTGTGACGTATGGCCTTGCTCTCCTCGTATTTGGCCCTCTCCATCGCCTCGAGTTGGGGCATGCTGTGGGGAAGCTTGTTGGGACTGGTTATCAGTGACTTGACATTGTGTTTGATGGTAGGCTGGCCCAGGGAGTAATTCTGTTTAAAGCAGGAAGACGTTTGAAACAGGTTAGTCAAACAGACTAAACCTCAATGTTATAATCTATGATTTTTAAGGGTCAGACCTGAGATATGGCGCCCTCCATTACTCTCCTGTCAGGAAGGTCAGGAGTCTTGCACATGTCTGGACCGGGCTGGTCCTTACTGGGGATTTCATGAACAGAACGCCCCATTTCCTTGATAGTACTGACGTTCTTGGCAATAGCTCCATCATAAGATCTGATGGGTGGGCTTTCTGTCTTTATCTGTTTTGCATACTTGATAGCATCCTCATAAGGATCTGCAGCTGTTCTTGGTGTCCCTGGAGATTTAAACAGAATAGTTTAATAACCCTTATTTATCAAGTGTGGACTGAGTGGATTATAGATGTTACAAAGCTTTATATTTAGATACCATGCATAATTGAACCAGTGATCAATGGTCTTTCCTTGGAGTCTACATGGTGGCTTTCCCTTGGTAAAGCTCTACTAATCAACCCTGAAAGAAAAGAGAAACAATGGCATCGTTACCTTTACAAACTGAAAACGCACTAGAACATGTTCTGTAACAAACACACATAGGATGTACCCTCAAATGGAGCTCCCTCCCTAACAGGGTGCCCTCTGCTCATGGGTCCCTCCATCATGTCATGGGTACGTTTCAGCTCGTGGCCCGTTCGAGGGCTTCGCGTGCTCTCCCTGGGGTTCTTTACACCTTCAAGACACAAAAAGATTAGCTTGTGTTCTCTGTGAAGAAGTGCAACAATCAGGAACATCAGTAATCCAAGGATTACCATCATAAGAGAGGATGTGACCGCTTTTGCCTTCATAGATGACGTGGCCTTTGGCCACCTGCTCTCCCCTGGACTTATCTGGGCTGCTCAGGTCCTCTGTAACGATCTTGGTGATCGTGCCTTTCAGGATGTCAGCAGCAATGCTGGACTGGGAAAGCGCTGGAGTGCCCTGTGACAGAGAAGAGCAGAATAAAAACTTCACACACAAACTGAAGAGTAAAACATGTCACAAAAATCCTCACTTTATCAAATCCTTACCCGAGTAATTGATCCTCTGTAAGCTAGGCCCTCACCAACCTTTGCAGAGTTTTCTCTGCCATCTTGCATGGATGAAACTGAGGAGCCTTGATGGTTACAGAGAAAAGAAGAGAGTTTGACCTGCCGCTAGTGTTGAGAACAGCTACAAGAAACGCTAATTAAAAAGGAAATATAGTCCCAATGAATTTAACTTAAAAGTCTAATATGCTCTAAAGGACATTTGTGACCCACACAGAGTATAAAACATAAAAGCTTCTGGGAGAAATTTTGGAGTTTCAATTATTTTTGGTCAAATCTTTATTGTTAAAAGTGATGTCCCGTGCTCTTTTCACACTCAAAATATGTTAGTGCTGTGACTGATGAGCTGTGGTGGCCATCTTGAATCAGCTGCATTTACTGGCTTGCCAGTTTATTTAAAACAAAAATAAACAAGAGAAAACGGCCTTTACAACAAATTTATTGGAGTTTAAGTAACTCATAAAATATCAAAGTAATTCACAATAAATAATTGTTCCAACTGATTTAATGATAACTTTCAGAGAGTTTAGCTAAAATCAGTTCAGTGTTTTACACAATATTACAACACACACACACACACACACACACACACACACACACACACACACACAGGGGCAAAATAAGTATTTAGTCAGCCTCCAATTGAGCTTGAAAAGACAAGAGGTCTGTAATGTTCATCATAGGTGAACCTCAACGAAAACAATCACATTATCTGATTTTTAAATAATTTATTTGTAAATTATGGTGGAAAATAAGTATTTGGTCAATAACAAAAGTCCATCTCAATACTTCGTTAAATACTCTTTGTTGGCAATGACAGAAATCCAACGTTTTCTGTAAGTCTTCACTAGGTTTTCACACACTGCTGCTGGTATTTTGGCCCATTTCTCTGTGCAGATCTCCTCGGGAGCAGTGATGTTGTGGGGCTGTCGCTGGGCAACACAGACTTTCCACTCCCTCCAAAGATTTCCTATGAGGCTGAGATCTGGAGACTGGCTAGGCCACTCCAGGACTTTGAAATACTTTTTACGAAGCCACTCCTTCATTACTGGGTGGTGTGTTTGGGATCATTGTCATGCTGAAAGAATCTTCAATGACCTTACTTATGGAAGGAGGCTTTCACTCACAATCTGATATGTGACCCATTCGTCATTTCATTTACATGGATCAGTTGTCCTGGTCTCTTCGCAAAAAAAAAAAAAACAGCCCTAATGCATGACGTTTCCACCCCCATGCCTTACAGTAGGTATGGTGTTCTTCGAATGCAACTGCAGGATTTGAGTCCCTGGCGGTGTCGTGTCTTAGTGATGGTAGCCTTTGTAACTTTGAAGTTCAAGGATTTTTGCTCACCGATCTTGTGATCATTTTGACCCCACGGGGTGAGATCTTGTGTGGAGTCCCTGACCGAGGGAGATTATCAGTGGTCTTGTATGTCTTCCACTTTCTAGTAATTGCTTCCACAGTTGATTTCTGCACACCAAGCTGTTATCTATTGCAGATTCAGTCTCCCCAGCCTGGTGCAGGTCTACAATTTGTTTCTGGTGTCCTTTGACATTGTGGAGTTTGGAGTGTGACTGTTTGAGGTTGTGGACAGGTGGCTTCCATACTGATAACAAGTTCAAGCCTCGTACAGGAGAAGTTACAGGTCTGTGACAGCCAGAAATATTGCTTGTTTGTAGGAGACTAAATACTTATTTTCAGACCATATTTTTGCAAATAAATTATTTAAAAATCAAACAAAGTGATTTTCTGGATTTAGTTTTCCCTTCATAGCTGAAGTATGATGAAAATTACAGGCCTCTCTCATATTTTTAAGTGAGAGAACTTGCACAATTGGAGGCTGACTAAAATACTTTTTGCTCCACAGTAAAAGAAGATTAGGTTATTCAACTGCTATTTCTTCTTAAAACAACTGGAGAGGAGAATTGCCATAATAATTGAGCTAGTATATCAAAATTCACAATTTAATAAACCAATAAAATACTTTTGAATGCTCATTTAGTGGTGCTGAGTAAACCATGTAAAACGCCTCCCTCATGCCAGTCCAATATTTTCACTCATGGGTCTGAAAGCTGTTATTTTGGTTTGAATTGAGCAGCAGAGAAACAAATTTGTCACGTGATTATCTGACACCCTACCAGGCTTGTTGGGATCCATCTGCCGAGGTAGACCCAGAGAGATGGAGCCCACTGAGCTCTTAGTCCCCTCTGGTCCGTAGACAGCATGGGAGGGCAAATATGTGCCAGGAGTTCCCTGAAAAAAATAAAAATAAAAAAAATACAGGACAAAGAACTCGTCTCATGTTCAGGTCGCTGTAGTTATGAGAACAATTGAGTGGTGTCAAGAGATGCAGATCAATCATCTTTTGCATGTAATGCCATGGTCCAAGCTAGATCATGTCAAGAATGCACATTTAACAACACAGCATTTGTTAGACAGTGCCAAATAATACTGTAGGTTCGAGCGGGTTATGCTGATGAGAACAAATGCAAATCTGCTCATTTTAACATCCCACATGAAAATGATTAACAAATTAAATTTGTCCATGTTTGTAAGAGGTTGATAATAGCTACAAGAGATCCTCCTGAAGAGCGGCTCACCAGAGAGATGGAGCCTCCATGGATGAAGGAAGGCTTGTCTGTGGGCTTGGCGGTTGGAATGAGTGGAGGAGGAGAGGGAATGTTGGGAGGTCGGCTGGGTCTGCTGAACGTCACGCGGACTCCATCATTTACACCCTGAACCAGCTGGTTGGGAGCAGGGTGGAGGACTGGTGGGGAAATGAGAGTAAAGAATAAAACAATGAAATATTTCCTTCGAGAGCAAATATAAAATCTCCCAACCCAGTCCGGTAAAACTCTTTTGCTGCTTGAACTCTTGAACTCGAAAACACCACTTTTCAATTATATTCATTTCACATCGAAGACTACAAAATGAAATATTCAGCTTCAGTCTTCTAAGTGGTGAAGTCTACAGTTAATGGCCTCCCTGTTCAGAGCGGGGCAACTCTGGCCCGTGTGTTCTGTCTGCTTTAATGTACCCTGGGAAAGCTGAGTAGATAAAATGGATCATAACAAACCACACACACAAACACACACACACACACATGCACGCACGCACCCACACGCGCGCGCACGCACACACACACACAGTAACAGTAACCTCCCCGCAGCCTCAAGCGCTGCACTCTACAAAATCAAAAATGCAAACGGCTGTACGAGTTCTTCCAGCAGGCATGGACGTCATCATCCTGCCGGCTCATGAGGGGGTGGAAGAGAAAACAAGCCCCTCTATTATAAATTTATACAGCGCTGTTTCAGGAAGACAACCGAGAGTCATTCGGGTCTTTACCTTTGCAGAGAACAAAATATGGGATGTAATGCAAGATAATCAACTGAAAAGTCAAAAATAGATAGGAGAGGCAAAAATGACTGATTATTTCATAACTACCTGTAAAATAAACAGCTTTATGGGACACATATTTCTGCCATCCTGAGAATTTCTGTGTAAAAGTTTTAAATAACCACACCTGATAACTTCCTAAACTGCTTCTGTTCAGAGAAAAGACTCATATTGAGATAGACTCATTACTAGAACTGGGTGTCAATTCAAATTTAAAGAATTGATTCGATTCCAATTCTCAAAAATTAGAATTGATTATTGCGATAAGATTTCATTCAATTCGACAAATTCATGAAATATTGGCAATTTAAAATGGCTGCATGGCCCAATCCTTCTCTCAGAATTTTTCTTTTCACAAAGACGCCGTCAGGCGGAATTAGCAAACAAATCCAGGGCAGTCAACAGAGGAAGTAAGAGGTGTCAATAACTGCATCAATGGACTGTTATTGGAACACGAAGCTAGGGCATTATTAAAAATAACACATTAAGATTTTATCCAAAAGTTGTAGCTGCACACACACACACACACACACACACGCACACACACAATTTGATATTTATATTGGCCTCATTCAAGACAAGGAGGCGGTTTTCAAACTCTTAAACTCAGAAACTTTTAATACAAACAGACCCACAAATGTTGCTTAGACTACTGAAGATAAACATCTCCACTATCTTCTGGTGTAAAGTAGAAACTTCAAGAGGGATCATATTTGCAGCTGTGGCTCATTAAAGCCAGCAATAACACTTGTTGCAATTTAGCGACTTTGGTGCCGTATGGATCGATCCTCCTGAATATTTATGAGAATCGATTCAGAATCGGATGATCGATTTTTTTTCCAACACAGCCCTACTCATTACAAGCAAAGCCAGATATTTCAAGCCTTTTTTGTTACAATTAAAGTATAAAACAATTAAATCATCTTGCAGATATGACTGGAAAATCAAAAAGCAGAAACATCTTTCCTGAGGGAATTTTGGATGGAACACATTTTATAATCCTACAAATCCCATTCATGTCCAAAAAGTACAAGGACATCACTAAATTGATGCCAACTATTATTTGCTGATCCAAACATTCAGCTTCCTTTAGACACAAGCAAAGACTAACTATCAAAGAAACACACCATTAGTGAGACAAACTCAGGCCAGACATTTCAAGAGTCGAATAAAACAACCAAGGCTTTGATGTATGCAGGTACAAATGTGCACCAAATCATTTCAACTAACAGCCTGAAGGCTTGGGCCTTCCTCACCAGCAGAAGTACCACAAAACGTATCCCTAACCTCAGCTAAACTATGTTTGATCATATCTTATGTAGAAATGTTCATTCAAAAGGAAACTCGATCTAAAGCAACAACAAAATGGAACTTCCATGCATCTGTTGCTAGTTTCCTATTTGACTAAATATCACATAAATCATCTTACATTCAGGCAAAAACGGTTAATACATTTGATCAAAATTTGCCTCTTTTACTTGAGGACAAGGCATTTGAGCTTCCGATGTCGAACAGAAAAAATAAATCTAATTCCTGTTTTGTAACAAGGAAATGCCCAACACATGAAGGCTGGGTAAACAAGGAAGAGGAGGAGCAGATGTGTGCTTTTACCTGGTGGCACACTGTAGTAAGAAGCATTGGGGGCGTTGGGGTCAGGCTGAGAGGGGGCCTTGCTCAGCTCCCTGGGGGAGAGTCTGTAGGGAGAGCCTGGCTGACCAGAGTGACCCTCCGGGTCCAGAGCCAGCATCATGTCATAAGGCATGGGGGGTAACGGCTTACCTGCAGTACACAGGCATAAGGACAAAGGGAAAAATAATTGCTACAGAAGCTAAAGCCTAATGCTACACGCACAGACCTGACCAAGAATGGACAAACTTGTTCAAGAGACACCACTGGGACACACCTGCTGAAACAAACATGCTGCGTTGATGTCAGAGCTCAGGGGTTTACAGACGCACTCTACTCTGCACAGCACTTTGACTCAAAGGTGCTAAAAGCTTTTCGAAAATCCCACCATGACATCACAGCTATCCCTCTGAGTGGCTGAACTACGACTGACAACCCAGGAGCACAAGAATCACCTGATCTGCTCGAGTTAAGTCAAACAAAAACACCGCACAGTTTCAACCAGAGTTCAGATCTCGGTTTAGTCAAAACCATCAGTAGGTTTCTCTCTAAAACTGCATGAAAAAGCAGGACCTTAAAACCTATTAGCTATAGTTACGATAAGCATTATGTGTTGGTTTTGTTGTCCTACCATCTCTGTCCAGAATGGTAGGACTGCGAGTGCTGAACGGGGGTCTGCGCTCCAGGTCTCCCTGATCCTGCCTCTGCTTCTCTTCTTGGTGTGCCGAGTCATGCACTGCTTTGATCTGGTGCTGAAACATGGTTAAACCGGTGATGGACACTCCGCCGGGGCCATAAGGACCAGGCACCTGGATTATTAAAGGAGAGAGAAAAGGTCTAAATGACTCAGGTCACATCAAATCTTGCATTTTATGGAATGAAATAAACATCAAAAGCTAATTTTTATTCAAACCAAACATGAAATATAATGTTTAGAAACTAAAAAACATAAGGCTTCCTTCTGTGCCAGCTCAAATAAATCAAAGTGAAGCTAACCATGGGGGGGATGGAGGCCGCTCGCTGCTCCATTTGCTGGATGCTGAGCTGAGCTTGTTTGGGTGAGGACACGAGTACGGAGCCTGGAGCGTTGAGCAACGACGGTTTTTCCAGTGGATAGTTTCTACAGAGTTGAATAAGACATGTAAAAAACAGCCACCCCAAACCATGCTACGCAGTATACAAACGTTGGAGCAACTCACCTCGGTCGATCAGATTCTGCCTCCACATCCTCATCAGCACTACAGGTGGCGCTTGAGTCATTATCTGAGTGGAGCTCCCTCTGCCTTTCACCCTGATCTCCCTTTTCTCCTTTCTCCTTGATCTCAGGCTCCATCTTGACTTGAATTTCCCCAGCCTTCATGTCCACATCTTGAGGTTCTGTTTTAGGATGCACCGGACCAGGAAAAGCAGCAATTCTGACTTTCTCCTCCTGGGATCCAAGCTCGCTTTCTGGGCTTTTCTCTTGCTTGACGTTGAGTCCTCCGTACGAAGTCTCTGCAGCCTTTGCACAGCTGGCCTGACCTTTGTCCTGGTCTGTGCCCTGAGCATCCGCTGTGGTGCTGTCTGGCTTCTTGGAGTCACCTGATTTTGAGGAGTCGGTCTGAGAGGGAGAGGAGGCACTCTCTGTATCGGAGCTGTGGTCTCCACCTGAAAAAGAATCAGAAGATAAACATTCAACATGGCTTGCATCATAAGTCACGAGATTGCTCATTAAACAAGTAAATGTCATTCAAAATTAAAGGCTGTTGGTCTCACTGGGGATCCTTGTGACCTAACAGACAATAAGCAGACTTAAATTCATGAATTTTACAAGCATCTGTTTCCATGTTGAGAACATTTGCAAAGCACAGCTTGGAGGCATTTAAAATCCTATATTAGATTCAAAAGACTAATTTCTCAGCAATTTTTAAATAAATCCACATTTTGACCTCATATTCCTGTTGTCTGCAGTGACCTTTCTCTTTAATTCTAATAAAACTGCATCACATTTTTACAACTCTTCACCATTTTCTTCTGATTTCTCTTGTCAAGTCACTCATACAGTCTGCAAACATTATCAGCGGTTTTCTCATAACCAAAGACATCAGTGGTGTCATATGGATAACCTCTGAACCTGCCCATATAACCTACTTCATTTACTAGCAATGTATTGATAGGGAAATAGCTCTCATCTCTAAGGTGACTTTCACACCTTTCATAATGATCCATGCAGAGCAGTTTTATTGCCATATTTTGTTGAGGTGAGCCGTGTTGCCACTCCCTATTGACTAATGTTATTATGCCGTGTTCTGTGTATTGAATGGTCTCCTTTATTACAGGTGATGTTTGATCTGATTATGTTCAGAGCCTATGATAAACATGAACGGGCCATAAAGGTGGAAACGTAATCTAACAGGGTTTTTGGAGCAAAATAACACTAAATGCTAAAACATTGAATCAGGTTTGGAAAACAGATTCCACCTGTTCATAATATCTGCTCGTGTTCGCCCTCTCTGCAGCTGTTGCCATGGTGATGAGTCAGAAAGCTTCGCAAGTTTTATAATAAAGAAAAAAAATCTGCAGATGAATCAAATTTTTTAAAATAAAATTGAAGCTTTTATGAAACATCAGTGCTTATAGGTGCATCGGAGGGTTGAAACTGAGTGATGGGGAGGAAGTAAAACAAATCTGAAACAAAAACCTGTTAAGTGTGACAAGATGAAGGAAAGTGTCTTTGGTTCTTATAAGTAATGTTTTATTTGTATTTTTTCACAAATCTGAACCAAAGCTCTTAATCAAGGACAAACAAAGCCAACGCAGACGAAAGTGCAGCTTTTAACCCCGCTGCCCTTGGACAAAAACAGGAGGTTTTCAAACTAAAGAACACGTGTGTGTGGTAAAGGACACCAAATTCCCATTAATCGTTTTTCTGACCTTCACTATCTTCTGCATTGTCCTCGTCATCATCAGGTGTTGCCGTGGCCTGGCCTTCCCCTTGAGACCTATCAGCGCGGGCCCTCCGAGAATCCTGGGAAACGGACGTAGGCTTATCGTCTTGCTTTCGTACATCAGAGTGATTACAGAGCTCACAAGGAAGTGGTTTACCTGCTTATGCTGTTGGAGTAGGTTGTCCAAGTTGTGACGTCTCTTGTAATTGAAATAAAAGTTCTTGCACTGCGCTTCACTTTTGGTGCCCACCATTTTAGCGATTGCTGTCCAGTTTCGGCCATGCTCAACCAACCCTAAGGAGAAAAATAAACATTAAACAATCATGCACACACACACTCACACTTAAGGACAATTTAGACAGACCAATCAATCTAACAGTCATGTTTTTGGACTGTGGGAGGAAGCCGGAGTACCCGGAGATAACCCACGCATGCACGGGGAGAACATGCAAACTCCATGCAGAAAGATCCCAGGCCAGGAAGCGAACTCAGGATTGCTGCAAGGCAATAGCTCTAACCACTGCACCACTGTGCAGCCTCCTAAATGAACATAGTCTTAGAAAATATTTAGAAAAGTTGAGTTTCCAAAAATGTTTTTGAAGGGTTGCTGATGCTCTTTCACATCTGTACTCAGGGTGAATTTAGTCCACAATCAGCTCTGATGAGTGTGCTAGATTTTAAAGTCATGAACCGGAGAACTTCCATTTACCTTTGACACCAGGGTATTTGATTTTGCCTGGCTACCCTGTCCACTGTGGCCTACTCTCCCTGCCAGCCCCACTTAGATAAAGAATGTTTGCAGCTTAACAAATTATCCCACAACTGAACACAAAAAACCCAACATTTCAGTTCCTGTTAAACAAATAAGGGGTTTGGTTGCGTGACCTGTGTCTTAGTCCGTCTTACCCAAACGCCAACATATTAGGACTAAGGTTAACACTTCCCACATGATCAAAGCCAAACTAAGAACACTGTTCCAGTTCATCTGCGACTAAAAAAAATATGCACATAAAAGTGATTTTGCACACAAGTTTGTCACATGACCAGGCTTTTACACCAAATCTACAGACATGTCACACATGCGTCTGAATGACTGAGAAGTTAACAACAATCTGCATTTTTTTTGTAAAATGACTGAAGACAAAATCCACTCCTGTAAGTCTTCATTAATCCAATTTAATCCCTTTATTTGCTACTGGAATCCTGAAGCTAAGCTTAAAAGCTTTGTAGCATTAAAGTCAAGTGAAAAGTGGAAAAGGGGCACAACTGAGTGGCATGTGACCTGACAAACGACCGAAGCGAGCAGCCTTGAACCAAGCACAGTATAGAGATAAGTATTTTGTGGATTTCACACAACAAAACCCTTTGTAAAATATTTACGGATGTGTTTAAAAGTGAAAAAAGAAGCTATGAGCTGTTGAGATGGGGGAAAATCAGATGTTGTAATGAAGCAAATTTCTACAAGAAAAAAGGTTGCATAAATTCTGAGTGCATGAAAGAAATGGGCAGGGTGAAGTAGCGTAATTAAAAAGAAAATCTAAAAAGGAGCAGCGTGATCATAAAACGCAGAGAAGACACAGGCGCAAGGAGAGAAACAAGGGAAAGAGAAAGACATAAATCGAACTCTACCTTTTTTGGCGACTTCCATCTCTTCCTCGGTCCAGCGAGAAGTTTCTCCGGTTTCACCGGCACCAGCTAAATCATAAAGAGAAGAGGCACAGCCCCATCAGCATGAACAGAGAAAGAGAGGGAAAAATCACAAAACGTGAAGGAGGGAGGGAGATAACCCAGGAGAGAAAGAGAGCCGGCTTTTGTCTTCAGCCGTCTTGTTCTCATGGCCACTAATCTAATAATCTGTTTACATTCAGCACTGCCGAGACCTGCTCCCTCACATACACTCTCACCCACCCTTTCTCTCTCTCTCCTCTAGTCTCTCCTTCTTTCCTGTTCCCCACAGCTCTGAAGAAAGCCCTCCTCCTGTCTAATCCACAAGGGGAGGGCTCAGGTCAGCTGACACAGCGTCAGACAGCAGAGAAGCTGAGAGACATTGGCCTCCCTCTTTGGGAAATGGCCTTGGATGGAGACAAATGGACAGCCCACAACCCTCCCACCACTTACACTGTGACACTGCACATCCGACACACACACACACACACATACCCGACACACACACACACGCATGCACGCACGCACGCAAGCACACACACACACACACACACACCCCTCATTTCTGCCTCTTGGCTACACAGTTCACCACCCCCCATCAGTGAAATTCACAGAAGTGCACGGTTAGCGAACTCTAGCCTACTCTCTTCCACAGCACCCACCGAGACTGTGTAAACATTTGGACTAATATAGCTGCAGATGTACCCTTGACATTAGGACATTTTCACACACCCCCACCCTGCCCAGCCACCTTGAAGATGAAGACGTTTGTTCTCATTGTTTAGACGACACCTAACAAACGTCCCATCAGCTGCACGCTGTTTTACATTAAGCTTAACTAATATCACCACCTCCCTCTAAGTATAAATGAACGATACTTCCAGGCATGCTGGGCACCTCAAGGGTGGTCACTGATGTGTGTTAAATGAAAGCAGACCACCTAGAACGTGACATAAACACAACATCTATTAACTCCCACTTCTTGTTTATCCTGACTGGCACCATTTCATGTAGGCAACACTGACCCACAGTTAGCATCTAGGACCTCGTCTGCAGCATCATACATCAGAACAAAGGAGATGTTCCACACACTCATAAAATCTTCAGTTTTGACAATAAAAACATCAAATTACATTTGAGAGAGAGAGGGGGGCAGAGGAACACACTTAAAGAGATTCTAGAATTTCAAACCACATTTACCTTGAATATAGACAGCTTGGGGTGTTAAGCGTAACATATCAAAAAGTCTACCCTCCGACCTGCTTTCCTTTGTAAATTAGTAATCTTGTAATGATCACGGAGAAATGAGAAAAGCTAGTTTAACATGTCATCGGCATAGACACACACCCTTAAATTTGCATGTCCAAACCTGCTTCAATGTCAGCAATATATAAATGATGGTGGCAATAATGCTAACTGCAGAACGATGCTAGCCCAAGCTACTGTCAACGTCCTTTGTCGAATGAGGAAAACAACTAAGAAGAATGTTGGAGCACACAAGTAAAATTCCAGGATGTACTAGGAATTTCCAGACACTGAATGAATGCTAGATAGATCCAGAGCTTGCCTACTGAGTTATCCAGATCCCACACAGTTTTAGAGTTTCTAGCGTCAGGCAGCATCATAGAGCCATCGGGGTAAAGTGGCCAATCAGCCTGTAGCTCATTTAATTATATCGTGGCCAAGTGGTTGGGGTAAACCAGTCTTACCATTGTAGGGCTTTATTATGCGACTGTATTTGGCCATTTATCCAGGCTCCTGACCGATTATGTGCCTCAACATCTGTGTGTGTGAATGAATGAACAATTTATTGTAGTATAAAGCACTTCGGAGTCTTCTGACTCAGAAAGGCGATTTACAAGTGCATGTCATTTATTAAGAACGCTCAAGCACAGTTTCAGATTGTAAGTTGTTCTAGGGCCCCTTTAAAATCTAGTAAAGCAATAAAGATAAGCAAAATGGAGAAGCATTAAAGGATGCCTTACAAAACCTAAGGTGATTTAGATGAAGGGGCAGACTTGGAGCCCAACAAAACAAGTGAGTAATGAGACTTCACATTGTGTATAACTATGCTGATGGATACCGTAAATCCTCTAATACAGGCCCGGGCCTGTATTTGACTCAAGCTCATCAAGCTCCAGGCCTTTATTGGAAGGAGGACCAGAATTAGAGGCAAGCCTCAATTTCTATTTGAGCAAAATTAACTAATGGTTCGCTGGAGTTTTTGACGATTAAAATTGCGCCCACATTTTCAAAGTTAAACACATTTCTTTTAACAACGGTAGTTTCTGCTTCAGCCCTCCCCCTGCGCAGCGGCCGCAAACTCACTGATGCGCCTGCAGCCTCTCAGTGTTCCTGCTGCTCTAAACATTAAAATAATTATTTCATTTTCTGTTCCTCACTTCTGATTACCTTCAATGGTGTCTGTTTGTTGCAACCAGCAGGTACAAAAACTAACTTGTTTTTATATGACTATTTTTCTGTCCTGCCTGTTTATTATCTTCCTGCATCTCCTCTCAATCCTAAAGAAAAACTGCTACCTGGGTTCATATATATTCACCTCATGAGTTACCTTTGAACTGCAGTTCTAAAAGATCTACCGACCGCAAAAACAGCGGAGTGCTCGCCGAACACATCAGTTAGGTGCGTCACCGAGGACAAAACAGGTGATGCGCCCCGATCCACAGCAGCGAAACGCATCAGGCACAAATAAAAGAATAAAAAAACAAAAATAAATAAAAGGAAATGAGCCGACATGAACGATCGCGTGTTAAATTAGTTTTTGAGGTGGCGACACCTAATTTGATAACGTTACTGTGGCCGTGCTCAGGACGCAGATGTCTGGAGCGCGTCAACAATCAGAGCTTTGCATGCGCAAGCTGGTTAAGGTTAGGATGGGGGTGAGGGGAATGTTAAATTGCAAGAGGGTAAACGTTAGGGATGGGTACCTTTGACATTTGAATCGATCCGGTACTAATTCCCGGTACCTACGAATCGATACCGGTAATTAACGGTACCAATTTTTGATACTTTTGAGTGTTTAATATTTTAATTCTCTTTTATAATTAAATATATATTTTTCTCAATATATAACAATATTTGACAAATATCGTGATAAATAACATACAACTGTTTGTATTTTAAAATCGTCCTTGTAGTTTTATAAGCTGATAATTAAACTGAAGCAAACATCTTTAATGTGAACTAAATTTACTGTGTATCTTCATTCCTTTTGCCGTCTTTTTTCATTTGATTTTTCCTACTGGGAAGTTAGAATTTCCGAGGGGAAAGCGAACGCACCATTAGCTGATAACAACGGTGGCAATGGAAGCTAACTTATCAAGCTAACGTTATCTTTAACAGTTTATTTAACTGCTGGAGCAGATTAAAACGATGATGCCTCACACTTAGATCGTCGCTGGTTTCATCTTCACCCAATCACCCGTCGCATTTAGTAAAGTGAAGCCAAACTTTAGAGCGCGTTCATGTTCTTCTAGTCGGAAATTCGGAGTTCCGAGGAGAAAGCGAACGCACCATTAGCGAAACGGAAGCTAACATATCAAGGTAATGTTATCTTAAACATTTTATTTACCTACCGGAGTAGATTAAGATGAGGATGTCTCACTTAGATCGTTGTCTGTCGCTGGTTTCATCACCCAGTTACCCATCACATTTAGTGAAGTGGACCCAAGCGTTAGCGTGCTTTCTTTCTACCCATGCTGCTCTGTTTACAACTTGCTCGCAGGGACCGACGACATAACGCTCTTGCGCATGCGCAGCTGTCTTGGCAAGTTCTCGTTATGAAGGACGGGTACCGAAACGAGGCACCGTTTGAAAAGACGTGAATCGGTGCTCGGTCGGTACTATGGAATTCGGTCGGTACCTTAAAAAGTACCGAATTCGGTACCCATCCCTAGTAAACGTCACAAGTTGGTTAAATGTCCGTTTTACGGCGGGTGTCAGTACCGACGCTCTGGCACAGCGCGTTGCCTCCCGACGCGCAGGAGCTTGTCACCTGCTGACAGCAGGCTGCTGTCTTTTCCGTGGACTGCATCTTGCCGGTCATTATCACGTGACAGCGACTAGTCGATAACAGGCATAAAAAGTCACTATAGAGCGGTGAAGTCGACTAGTGACTAGTTCATACAACCCCTGCTACTGCTCCCCAGTGTGTTCTGCAGCATAATCAGCACATTCTCTTTGAACTTGATATCAAATTTTCGCCTCCTCTTCGTCTCTGCACAGTCAAAGTTACCCTCGCGGTCTATCACTGGCAAATCAAAAGTGAGACGGATGACACAACCGCCCCCCGTACTTGCTTGTTACCACATTCCACCCGGCCACAATAAAAAAAAAAAAAACGGCCATTATTCACCTCCGCCGACTCCGGCCAAAATATGATACCCGGCAGTTAATTAAATACAGGCTAATATTAGAGGATTTACGGTAGTGTTCAAACAGGTCTTAATGGAATTCAATGCAGCTGAGTGCTTGGGTCAAATAGGTGGAAAGGAGCCTGCATGATTTAAAACTAAGACAGCTAACAGAGCCATATTCTAACACAACTCAACAATAAAATAGCTTTATGCTGACATTTTGATTCACATCTTAAATAAACCAAGACGATTCACCTTTATTAGCATCAGCTGAGGTTACTGGAGTTAGAGCTTTTGCAGGCTCCTTCATGGCCTTTTGTGCTTGATCAGAATTAGGGAGCTGTGAAGGATCTGGCGGGGCGGACTCTGGGGCAGGAGGGGGTGCGTCCTCAGCTGCAACAGATGCAGTCTCATTGGCCATTGAGCGTGTGACGACTCTTCTGTTACGGCGGCTCTGGCTGCTGGCTGCCTTCCTGCCACGCGGCGTGTTTTGCTCCTTTCCGTCCTCGTCCTCCACACCGTCACACTTGTCTTTTTCCTTGCCAATCTCCCTGTGGTTTTGGACAGGAGAAACATAGCTTTTAGCTGTTGGTACAGCAAATACCTATATTCCCTGATGATGCAGCAATAAGAGGCACTTCTTGTAATCTGTTCTCACTGACTGTAGACATGAAAGCCAAACTAGCAGCTTCTTAGATGTAATATGGGCAGACATAAGTCATTTTGGACTTGTTGGACATTATGTAGGGACTTTTATTTGTATTTTGAGTCAACTTGTTTAGATCGGACATAATAGTCTTAATAAATTATGAAAAATTATTACTTATTCAGACATTTAAAAAAAGGTGCAGAGAATCAGAAAAATAGTGAACTAGGCGATTTATATTGTGTGTGTATTTATTAGAGCAGGCCAGAATGAGATCATTATCAAACTGAATACATCTCTGTCATGGAAAAGCACCGGACACTGAAATGTGAAACTTACCAATAATGTAACAAAAAAAGAAAAACAAAACAGATAAAATTTCTATTTTATTTGTTTTATTTAAAAGGCACAAAACAATTTTCTCAATTTTTATTTCTGATTGAGAAAATTCATTTATTGTCCAAACATGCAAAATAAAACTAATATGAAGAAGTATAATAATGTGTAAGGCAATTAAAAAGCTAAATAAATATGACTTTTAGGTTAGATAACATCAATTCCTTAAAAAAAGCAGCAAATCATGTGGAAAACAGTAAAAAAAACAACGTCTTGTACTTGAACATGCTATAGGTGACACACATGCTAACACATCTACAGCCAACTTCTGAAGCTGAAAACACCTTCACAGAACATTAACTTTTCAGCAACATCATAAACCACAGCTCATCACAAATCAGCGTATTAATAATCATCTTTTCAGCCGATGCCATTGTTTAAACAACTCCCAGCACCTATTCCTGCACTCCTTTGTCATTTCTACAATGCCTCACTAGCTCAGGAGCACCACTCTCACGGCACAGAGCTCAAGACACAGCAGGACCGACACTTAAAGGACCAGCTTGTATCTTTTGAAGTGAAGTTAAATGGAAAGGTCATCAATGATTAATAACTTTCCTTCTAATCTTAGAAATTTTGCAAGCACTTCATGCGAACACTGTTCTTTATAAACTTTTGCAATGGAAAAAAACTTCACATTATAGTAATTTACATAGAAGCTTACTGCACGTGCACAAGAATTTAGCATTAGAAATAGCCTTCTGTAGCACGTTTGGTTCTGTGCTCAACACGTCTGATCTGAATTTCATTGTTTTTGCCAAAAAAGTGTAATAAAAGACTAATAGTTGTGGACATTTAAAATAAAGTTTGAATGCACCAATGGGAACATTTTTTAAAATCGAACAAGTCAAAAATCAATTGTTCAAAATGATTGAGAAGATTTTAACTATGAGGTACATCCTCCCTATGCTGTGTTTCTGTGTGAGACCTTATCAAATGCTGCCTGGCAAAAGTTTGGCTAATATTAAACCCTTTTTGAAATCTGATTCAACTAAGTCAATTCAAGTAATTCATTTTTCTATACAGCTTTTATTCTTGTTTGTAAAGACCCGTTTTTTAACCTCTGAAGGGACTTGCATTAAACTTACCCCGAGTCCCAGTGATTGTTTCTTTTGCTTAGGTTTAAAACTATGGAAAACTGTTGAAAAAGAAGTTATAATAGTTATATGGTCGATACAAAGCATGTCTATGAAATAAAGCATAAAGCAATCAGAGCATTTTCTAATCTTGAAATTTTCAGTATGTTCCAGAACAAGCAGTTTCAGGCTTCTGTCCCTTTAAGGGAAACTAGCAAGTGCTTGCCAAGCCCACCTAGGCTGCTATGAGCTAAAAAGCTCCGATATCCGAAATGTGCTCAGATGAAAAGCCTCGTCAACTGCTTCTCCAGTGTCGACAAGCATGTGTGTGTCTGATTAAGTCAAAGCGAAGTGACAAGTATGTCCAAAAATTCCAAAAGGTACTCATAATGTGTCCAAATTAGTGCAGATTTTCTAGGATGGGTCAGTTTTATCCTCATTGGCTAAGACTATCCCAAGATTCATCGCAGGCCAAATGGGAGATCGTTCTTGTAATAATGGCAGACAAAGTTGGAGAGGATCACAGTTTTAAAGTAAATGAACAAAAGCTTAAAGCTGTTGTGTTGGTTTTTTTTCTTTTGCCTTTTCAAATTGTGTTTTGTCAAGTTATATGGTGGTACCCTTGTTTCTTCATATACTGCCACTAGCACTAAGGTTAGTTGTGTTTAGCACCATCTTGGTTGCTAGGCAACAGGAAATTCACTGAGGTACATGTGAGAAAAATGAAAAAGGCTTGACTGTTCAGATTCACAGCCACACACTTCCGCTTTGAGGAAGAACTTGATCTACGGAAACCGAGTCCTTCCAAAAATGCTATTTGTCCTATTTGGACACAGCCAATGAAACTTTTCTAACGCGAGTTCTAAATAATGGCTCCCATGTGATAAAATCAACATTGAGAGGATAATGTTAAATGTCATCTTTTCAGAAATGGTGACTGTGATTAGACCAAACACCAAATTAAACATTCATTCACTCAAAACTCACCTAGAATCCTCCTTTTCATCTTTCTCTTCCTCGTCCTTCTTCTCCTCGTCCTCGTTTTTCTCTGACTTCTCCGACTTATCCTCTTCGTTCTTGTCTTCTGACTTGTCTTCGTGTAAAGGACGTGGTGTTGGCTAAAAACAAAACAAAAAGAAAAAATGAGTCGGTTGCTCAAAGTTAGTTTAACATATCCCTGAAGTGTCGTTGCAACAACTATCATAGTATGTCTCTGGTGCAAAGACAAAGAAAAACACCACCTTTGCCTCTGCACAACATTATTACCTGTTGTGTCACAAAAAAGGAGAACTACTACTTTTATCTGAATTTTAACCCGGGACAAAGCAACATTCCCAATGTTCACTGCTGGCGTGGTGCAACACAGAACACTTCCTCCTGACTATTCCATGATGGAGCTGTGCTGGAACAAGTCTGGCTATGCCAAACCAAACATCCCATGCTGGTACCAGATGGGGCAAAGGAATGCACTTCACTCAATGGTTAAAAGGCAGAAAGAGAGGAAGGAAGGAAAAGAAACGACAGATAAGGACATAATTTGTGACACAAAATTAAATAAATACAATCAGGGATGTGGCCTCCCGAGTACAGCAACATGACTGCACATGAAGTGTTACACTATTTGTTATAGAGGTATATCAGATGACAAACTACAGCATCAAAAAGAATCTTAAAGGAGTAAGAATAGCTGGAAAAAATAAGTACAGCGATTTATGGCAAGAGGGCAGATGCTTCAGCAACACCTGAAAAGTGTCAACCACGACCATAATTGATTTTTAATTCATCTCTATCATTTAATATATTTTATAACATTTATAAAGTATACTTCATCCAGACCATGAGTGCCCTACTGCCAAAAAATGAATGGGAGTCTATGAGCAGATAAAAGTTATTTTCTGATCCTTTTTCATATGTGCCATGGATTTCACAAATGATGTCTTGAACAAGATACATTTTGATGCCAAGAAAGTGCTTCTTTTCGAACAGCGGCAAAATTTACTTTAGGTTTTGTGTGAAAAGAAGTGGAGAACTCCAACTGCTCGTCTAACCAAATGTATGTAATCAAACCAGACAAGAAGGAGTAGAAAGAAAAAAAAGGGCTGAGTTTAGTTAGTTTCACGTCCCCCTTCCAGGATGATTGAAGGAACATTAAACATGGAGAAAACCACTATAAATCTCACCATGTGAAAAGTGCCAGCTACATTGGATCTCGGGGTGACATCATATGTGCTACTTCAAATTTGTGGTCTTTTTTAATTTGAAAATTTTGAAGCAAATAAATCTGAAATCACGTGACAGATATAGTCAAAACTAGGGCTGAACGATTTTGGAAAATAATTAATTGCGATTGAATTCACGATTATTTTCTCAAGGGGCTTTTCTCATATTTTCCAACTAACGGAAACAAAAAAAATCTATGTAATTTGTACTGAATATAAAAAAGTTTATGTATCTACATATTTATCTACATATCATATCAACAAGTTTATCTGTCTACATAAACATAAACACTCACAAGTAAAGACAACATTTTGTATTTGAAGGTACAATGCTTTGCAGCCAGGAGCACATTCCTTGAAGGAGCATAGGTATTGGCATCAACTGTGAAAATGTATTTGCAGGAAAGAAGTGTGTCCCGTTAATTGAAGTCTTTTGTGTTTAGTTTTTGCCGTCTTGTCCATGCAGAGCTTCTGTGGTGCAGTTACATTCATAGATGCTAGCCAAAACTCAGTGGAGTTAAAGTCTCTTAGGGTATCTAACTTTACTGAAATATCTGTCTGTGCTTATTTGATTGATGACAGTTTTTATATTTTATTAGACTCCAAATGTAATCATTTGGCACGTTCCTAATTCGTAATTTGTAAGAATGTAATTGGAGATATCAGCATTAGCATCCATATGGGTTTTCCCATGCATATTAGCATTGTGCTAACCACTCGCTGCCAGTCAAATCGCAGCCTGTGCCATTAGAAAATCTCCTTTTGTCACATCGCAATTTAATTTCATATGCAATTAATTGTTCAGCACTAGTCAAAACACATAATTTTTGTCATTTACATTGAAGAAAAACCAGAGGTAGAAAGTAACGAATTACATTTACTCTCATTACTGTAATTGAGTCGCTTTTTTGTATATTTATACTTTTTAAGTCGTTTTTTTAAATCTGTATTTTACTTTTACTTGAGTATGTTTTTTTTAAAAAAGAACTGTCATTTGCAGTTTTGCTCAAAAACATCGGTCCGGCTCCTCTTATTTGCCTTCTAGCCCCTCTCCTTCCTTCTCCTGTTGGTTGAAACCCGCACCTTCGCGCACTGGTGATAAGTCTTCAGTGTTTTGCTCGGTTCGGTAGCCGGACTTGGTTCAGTCTTTGAAATGTGTTTCCCAAACCGCTCCGCATGGCAGCGGCAAAATAACTTTTACCGCTCCTTACCAACTGATTCCCAGCCCTTTGCTCATAAAACAGGAGACCTGCAGCCCCTGTGAGTTTAAATATCTTAATACTGGAGCTAATTCAGTTGTAACCATTGTGCTCCATCCCTGTGTGTGTATGGACTCAGAAGTTGCTTCTTGAAGCCACATTTTACTCAAGAATAAGATATTTAATTATTACAAAAGTAAATGCGTCAAGCATAAACCAAGCTTCACCTCTTCTCCCACACTGCATAAAGAGCCTCCACCGAGATGTTCTACAAGCCAACAAAGTCCTGTGGCTCTTTTGTGTTTTTAAAACGAAGCTCCTGCCTCACCGGTCTTGAATATTTTAGGAGCTTTAACTTTCTGCCCTCTTTTGCTGATTCACAAGTCCTGTTTGAGTTAGGAAATGACAGAGCCACAAGTCAATCGTCCACTTCCTACCACAGAATTTAAGCCAGACGAGGAAGCCATCACTTCCAATACTGCCACTGCAGGAAGGGAAAATAAATTTGACTTCATTTTTAATGCTCTTCACTTCTGACCAAGCTGTTTTGTTTTGTTACCCTAACCCAACAAATCTAATTCACAAATATCCATGAAAAAAATAATACAGTTCTAAATTGTCACATGCAGTCTTTGAGATATTTACAAAGCAACCTCGGTGGAACATTTCTGCCCCCAGTAATGGTAAAAAAAAAAAAAAAGACAAAAATCAAGTTTGCAGTTGCTTTAGTAGCAGGAAGGTCGGCACAATTTTATTTTTTTATTTTGTGACTTTTCAGACTAAGTACACTGCACTCTGTTCAATATTTAGAACAAACCAGCTGCAGATACTCAATACAAGTTAAGAGTGGTCGGTAAAATATTATTCTAAGCATCAAGATTTAGACATAAATAATTTTGGTTAGATTTTAAAATGGGCAAACTTGATTTTATTAAGGGTTAATTATTAATGCGACTAGAGGAGTGTAAAAGGCAGAAAGTTTGGAAGTGCAGCAATCTGACCATTTACGGGAGCACTTAGCGACAAGTTCAGCATGTGTTCAACAAGCGAGTAGTATGAATGAAGAATTAAAGGACTCATACACTCATCGTTGTCTATAAGTCTGTCTGTGGTTTCCATTATGAATGAGTGCCTTGAGTCATTTTCTGTGCAATAAACCCTTTATACTCCTGTTTTCATGGGGTGAGAGTTTGTCAGATGACTGGGTCGGTGGAAAACGTCAGGATTACGAGTTTTCTGCATTAATATTCATAATAAGCAAACATCTTGCCTCTGATTGGCTAACATTAACGCAACTCTTCCTCTGCCACTATTTACTCTTTGTCCTTGGGTGAAAAATGCAACATTCAAGTGTTTTCTCAACACATAAAACAACCCTGAACGTGTTAACCTGTTTTATCAAAAACGATATAAACTATCTTTGGAAAGAAACAGGAAATTAACTATGCTGTTGTGAAAGTAAAACATTAAATAATCATTTAATACAATTAGGGATTAGGCAGTCAATTTCTGAACTTACATTATTGCAGCTCATCTGGTACTGAACTTCCTCTTCTACCCCTTCATTTTACCATTCCTTAATTTTTTTTGTCTAGAATATTATTTAATAATCAACTTTTACTTCTGAATACAATCAAGTCCAGAGGCATCTTTGAATGAAGGCTTCAGTGGTGCTAGGGTTGGGCATCGTTTGATTTTCAACGATTCCAATTCCTCGTTTCGATTCCGGTTCCTATAGATTTCCGATTCCGATTCTTTAAAGACATGACATGTTTTACATGAGCCAGCTAACCACAGGTCCTACTTGATGAAATAATCTTAACTTCAACATGAATTTTAATTCTATGAACAATAACATCACCTTCATTTAGACAGAAACATGTTTTGGAGAAAAAAAAGAAAAAGACTCGCAGCACAACCAGTGTGTTTGTTTCTGACCACAACCAAAGTCTGGAAGAAGCCTCTGGGATGAGAAGCTGAATGTCTCCAACATATCCAGAAACGTCCAGCTGTTTTCAGCTAAAACTCTCAGGATGATCATGTCCAGGATGACTGAGAACTACACCTCCATGCTGCAGCAGCATTCAGTCAGAACAGAAAGGGAAACTTAAATGTAGCTGCTGTCAGTAACAACCTAACAGATTTTAAACATTAAAACTCAACAAAAATAGTTCAGCAAGGAAATTAAAAACGTTCAAAACTTTGTGTGTGATTTATTATCATTATTTATTGTGGCAGAAGCTGGTGTGGTCCACCACAGAGAAGCTTCTCTAGCATGATGACTTTAATCTACAGGTTATTGTTAAGCCTTCTGACGCTCACGTGTCTGACTGCTGACACTCTGTGTGTTAAACTCACCTCACACCGTCCAGAGTTTGTTTTTTAAAGCTTCTATTAAATCCACCGTGTTGACGTATTTTAACACGTTTCCTCTAAGCTGCAGGAATTAAAGTTTACATTACGGAGTAAAAGTTCAGCAGAGGCCTTTGTTTAAATCTGGGTGGGGAGAGGGGGGTCTCAGTGCTGCACACAGACAGCTGGTGTGTGATCAGCTCTGAAAAGCCTTGATCACAGTTTGCAGATCCCGTTTATTTTTCACGGAGACCGGCCGCGGATTCCTCTTCCGTCGGCATTCTAGGAATTGAAACTAGGAATCGAAATAAAACACGTTGAGTGATTCCGGGAAAAATGAACAGTTGG